ACTGAGCCACACCAGTCAGGCTCCTCTATGTCTTGGAAAGAAGAGTTGATAGGTGTAGTGTCTGATAAATTCCTTCATCATTCCAGTTACCATGATTCATTCTGTGGATGGCACATATTTGAAAATGTGGAGGTTTCCAGTTCCTCTCTTTGATCTTGCATATACATTTCTTTCCATTACCAGTTTCTTCTGCTCTGGGGCTGTGTATTTTTTACAGCCAAACCAATCAGAGTTCCCTGGGATTCTCTTTTCTCTGATGACCTAGTGCCCAGACACAGTGCTGAATGCTTTCACTGTTTTTGTAACTAGTGTGTCATACAATTCTGTACTGGCTGCTTATTTACAGGGGAAAAAGGGAAAGGCATCATACAAAAGATACTGAGATTACTGGAGGCAGACTTGGCGTTTTTGTCCAAGATCACCTCATTTTCCAGACTAGTCTTCAAAGGGAAAAAAAGGCACATGAAAAGTTGGAATACAGCATTAGGCAAGCATGGGGCTGTTAGGCAAGGGGCACAGGCACATTGTTATAGTGCTTACACATTGGGAAGAGATCACCAAAGTGGAGTGACTAGGGAAATAGGCAGCATACTTTTGGAAATTTCAGATACTAGCATTTTCATGTTCTTACAAAATTGAAGTGAATTATCTTTTACCCATGGTATGGTGAATATAAAAAAACTGAAGGTTTTTTATTTGGACTGACTAGTGTGTACAGTAGAAATATGAAACATTAGTAAGGTAGGTACAGAAAATAGTACTGTCATCTTAATTCAACAACATTAAAGAATTGCCTAGTGTTTGCCTGACACTGTCCTATATAATAAAAGCCTAATATGCAAATTGGTCAAATGGCTGACTGAATAGCGGAATGACTGGTCGCTATGATGCGTACTGACCACCAGGGGGGCAGACACTCAATGCAGGAGCTTCCTCCGCAGGCGCCAGGCCAGTTAAGGCAGGTGCCAGTGCGGGTCCCCCCAGGTTGCCCCACAGATTGGCCTTGATCTCCAGCCAGGTCTAAGGACCCTACCTGTGCAGGAATTTTGTGCACTGGGCCTCTAGTAGAGAGTATAAAGATGAAAAAACTTGGATTCTCTCCTTGTAGACTTGTAGGGAAGATAGGACATTCACAATGGTCACAGAAAATATTAACTTATTTAACAAGCACATTGAGTATCTTCAAAGTTCTAGACACTGTGCTTGACTAGAAATACAAAGAAGGTAAGGCATACCAAAAGGAACTCAATCTGCTGGGAGATACAAATATTTAAATATGTGGTTATAAAGGATAAAAGTAAATAGTGTGGGAAGGTTTAGGCAAGTGAGTAGGAACATAATTTTGAAGAAGTGTGCCTGAGTGGTCTCGAAAGGGGAATAGCATAGAAAAGCATTCCAAGTAGAGGGAATTAGTATGTACAGAGATAGTGGAAATAAGGTAGAGTGTGCCATCTTCAAGTAGTTATATGTAGTTTGGTATGGCTAGAGCAAAGGTTAGTATTAGCAAGAGAGAGAGGAGAAGAGGCTGGATTGCTAGACAGACCAGCACAGGAGGAACCAATGTGTGTCAGCTAAGAAGTTAGAATTTAACCCTCTGTCTTAGAGGTAGTTGGAATCATGGGTCACCAGGGAGACAAAACAAACAAAAAACCCACAAACAAAAAACAAACAGGGAATTGTAGACATGGAGTCCATAGGAGCACCAGCATTTAAGGAAATGACCAAGAAGAGGAGAGAGATGGAGGCTAAAGGTGGAGGATTTTCAAGGAAGGAAGTCACCAAGGAAGATTGTTATGTTAGAGTGTTAAAGATGAGATTTGAAATTATCCATTATATTTAGCAGTAAGGAGTTGAACTATTAACATTGGTGAGAGCAATGTCAAGTGGAATGGTGAGGGATAAGCCAGATTACAGTGGGCTGAGAAAGAAAATGGAGATAGCAAGTGCTGAATATTTAAAAAATTTAACATTCATCTTTACTGTTGAAAGTGTTATGGATGTCCCTCCTTTACCCCCATGGAGCCCCTCCATCCAGTTCCCATATTCTCTCCAGGCCTTCCCCATACTATGTCTGTCCATGAGCTCTAAATAAATGCATATAGGTTCATTGGTTAATCTCTGCCGCCAGCCCCCAGCCCTTTCCTTTAAAATAAGTCAGTGTATGGATCTCATTGTCTCTGGACCTTTTTGTTCATCAGTTTATTTTATTCACTAGATTCTACATATAAGTGAGATAATGTGATGCTTGTCTTTTTCTGACTGACTTATTTCACTTAGCATGATACTCTCCAGCCCCTTCATGCTATCTCAAAAGGTAAGAGAACCTTCTCTTTTACATCTGCGTAGCATTCCATTGTGTAACTGTACCACAGTGTTTAATCCATTCATCTACTAATGGGCAATAGGGCTGTTTCCAGATCTTAGCTGTTGTAAATACACTGCTATGAACATACGGGTGCATATATTCTTTCAGATGGGTGTTTCTGGCTTCTTAGGATATATTCCTAGAAGTGGGTCAAATAGTTCCATTTTTAATTTTTTTATGTTTTTATTGATTTCAGAGAGGAAGGGAGAGGGAGATAGAGAAACATCAATAATGAAAAAGAATCATTGATTAGTCCTAACTGGTTTGGTTCAGTAGATAGAGCATCAGCCTGCGGACTCAAGGGTCTCAGGTTCGATTCCGGTCAAGGGCATATACCTTGGTTGCGGGCACATCCCCAGTAGGGAGTGTGCAGGAGGCAGATGAATCGATGTTTCTCTCTCATCGATGTTTCTAACTCTCTCTCCCTCTCCCTTCCTCTCTGTAAAAACTCAATAAAATATACCGCTATTTAAAAAAAAAATCATTGATTAGCCGCCTCCTGCACACCTCCCACTGGGGTTTGAGCCCGCAACCTGGGCATGTGCCCTTGACTGGAATCGAATCTGGGACCCCTCAGTCTGCAGGCTGACACTCTTATCTACTCAGCCAAACCAGCCAGGGCTGTTTTTTTTTTTGTTTTCTGTTTTTTTGAGGAAACCCCACACTCTTTTCCACAGTGGTTGTACGAGTCTACATTCCAGCAGCAGTGTACTAGGGTTCCTTTTTCTCCACATCCTCACCAGCACTTGTTTATTGATTTATTAATGGTAGCCATTGTTGTATTGTTTGCATCTCTCTGATAACGAGGGACGTTGAACATTTTTTTCATCTCTCATGGCCATCTGTATGTCCTCTTTGGAGAAGTGTCTATTCAGCTCCTCTGCCCACCTTTTAATTGGGTTGTTTGTCTTCTCTTGTTGAGTACTTTCGTATGAAGTTCTCTACAACGAGTAGAGAAGCCAATTGAGGAGGGAGTATTTTCAGCTGAGAATAAATGGTATTAAAAGATATGAATAGGTTGCAAATAAGAGCATTAAAGGAAAATGTTAATCCTATTTGGAAGGTGGAGGCATGCTTTGGTTCCTCGAAGAGTTTTTTAAATACTGGACTTCCGATGATGAGGGTGCATTTCCCTGAGATGATTTCAAGAGAGGCTGGGGGAAGGTATATATATTCCTGGTGAAGGAAACAGACTTCAAAGGGCAGAAGGTGGAGAAAGGCCGAGGGGCATTTTCGGGGAACAGTAAATAGTCCAATGTAACAGAATCCTTGGGTTTGCAAAGAAAGTGGTAAGAGAAAAGTGAGAGTCGAGCTTGGCAGGGAGGAACTCTGAGGTGCTGTGGGGTTTAATTCTGTGCCTCAAAGCACTGGAAGCTGCTGATACTTTTTGATCGGGGTAGTGACACAATGAGAGCAGCTGTGCTGTAGAAGGAGCTCTGAAGCCTGTGGCCGATGGCGGGGAAGGAACTCCTGTCCCGAACAGCCTCTGTAGCTACCCTATCTAGGAAATACTGGAGCAAAATGCTCCCTATTGTGCTGACTGCTGCTGGCTGGGGGTGGATTCTTTGTGCTGACTTAAACAAAAGCTTCTTTGCTAACTCCTCACAGGAGTGAAGAGAACTCGGGCTTTGTTGCTCTTTACTGCATGGAATAATCTATCCTTGCCCTCTGTAGATACATAAAGGGAAAAGCAGCTGTTTTCTATGAATACAAATTCATAGAAATGTGGTGGTGAGACTCTCTAGTTTTCAGGTGAAATACTGTCTCGCCAAAGGTTAATTTTGTCTGCTGCCATAATATGCAGTAGTCAGCAAATGTTGAAAGTTCTGCAGAATGCAAAGCAGGCAAGGAAGGATTCACACTAATAAAGTCAATTCTGTTACCTAAGCATTTCCCTAGACACTAACCTGTATCTTCATGTTAAAAGCTACTTCTGGTTTCATAGGTTCTGTTAGATTTTGAATGTTAAAGAAAACTTACTAGTTTTAAGTTATTACCATCATGAGATACCCGGGTGATGGCCTTGTGACTTTATTTGTAAAATACACTATCATTGGTCATATTCTTATCAAGTGTGGATTAGCAGTTTGAAATTGTTACGATAATGGAGTATATGTTTTATTTTATTTTATTTTTTAAAATATATTTTTATTGATTTTTTTACAGAGAGGAAGAGAGAGGGACAGAGAGCCAGAAACATCGATGAGAAAGAATCATCTATCAGCTGCCTCCTGCACACCCCCTACTAGGGATGTGCCCGCAACCAAGATACATGCCCTTGACCAGAATTGAACCCGGGACCCTTCAGTCCCCAGGCGGACGCTCTATCCACTGAGCCAAACCGGTCTCAACTGGAGTATATATTTAAATAAGCAGATAATTTGGTGGCCAAGTGAAAATTTCCATGCTACTGTAGGGTATGATAAGAGATCGGTTTCTTGATTTCTAATAAACTGGTGTTTGGGCCAGTAATTGACTTAGGGTATTTTTACTTAATTGACTGGCCAAGAAAATACATGTTCTTTGTATTCTCAAGTGCATATTTTGTACCCTGAGCTAAAATAATAGGTACTCATAAGTGAGTAATGAAAATAGCATGTTGGAACTTTTATCTTTAAAAGTACTTTTCTTTCAGGAGGCAAAACCTTCAACTGAGGACTTGGGGGATAAGAAGGAAGGAGAATACATTAAACTCAAAGTCATTGGACAGGTGAGTTTTGTTATTTTTCTTGGATTACTTCTTGAATATGTGAATAATTTGTGAACACAGGAATAATTCTGACTGACAAGACAACAAGACTTTGGTTCATGTCTTTTTAAAAAACAATATGTTCTATTGATTTCAGAGGGGGGTGGGAAAGAGAGGCAGGCATTAATGATGAGAGAGAATCATTGATTGGCTGCCTCTTGCATGCTCTCCCTCCTGGGGATTGAGCCTGCAACCGGGGCATATGCCCTGATAGGAATTGAACCATGATCTTACGGTTCATAGGTTGACTTTCAATCACTGAGACATGTGGGCCAAGCTTCTTTAAAAAAAAAAAAAATTATTGATTTCAGAGATGAAGGGAGAGGGAACTGTGAACTCCTGTTTTGTAGATAAATGCTCAACCACTGAGCCATATAGGCCAGGTGGTAAAGATGTTTTATTTTACATTTCTCAGATTATCAGTGAGCTGTAATTTTTGGTCTACTATGTTTATATTCTGCTAGAGGCCCAGTGCAAGAAATTTGTGCATGGTGGGGATGGGGTGGGCAGGGTCCCCTCAGCTCAGCCTGCACCTTCTCCAGTCTGGGATCCCTCAGGGGATGTCCGACTACTGGCATTCGGAAATTCCTCTCACAATCCTGGATTGCTGGCTCCTAACCACTCACCTGCCTGCCAGCCTGATTGCCCCCTAACTGCTCCTGCCCCCCTACCAGCCTGATCACCTCTAACTGCCTCTGCCTGCTGGCCTGATCACCTCTCACTCTCTCTTTCCCCACATACCCCCCTGCCAGCCTGATCACCCCCAACTGTTCCCTCCTCCTCCCCCTTGCCAGGCTTGTCACCCCACGCAGCCTGCTGCTCAGTCATTTGGTTGCCCCTCACCCCCCTGCTGGCCTGGTTGCTTAGGCTTTTATGTAGATAGATTGATTATATGTTCATATTCTCATTTACTGAGATTTCTTATTTTGAAAAAGATTTTAAGATATAATTCACATAAAATCCACTTTAGAGTGTATAGTTCAGTGACTGCAGTTTCGGGGGAGGTCCTTTTTGTTTTGAGTTGCTTTGGGGAGGGGTTTGTAATAATTCAGCCTCTTTTATTTTACATATGTAGGATGGACATGCAATTATGAAGGAATGTATTCTTTGATGCTTTTGCTTACACTGCTAACTTAAAAACACAAGACAGATTGTTTTGTTTGTTTTATTAAGTTTATTTTGAAATGGGTCTAAAGTAATGATTAGAATGTTTTAATAACACCTGTTATGAATACTAAAATAATACTTTGGTGGGAAAATACAAGTAACAAGGTTTGTTTCTGTTTGTGTAATTAAATTAGTTGTTTCAAGTAAAGCAAATAATTTACACAAAGAAGCATAATTTTTCTCTTGTATCTCCTTAGGATAGCAGTGAGATTCACTTCAAAGTGAAAATGACAACACATCTCAAGAAACTCAAAGAATCATACTGTCAAAGACAGGTTTGTATGTTATTGTAGTAAATACAGTGCTTTATATGCAATTCATGTATCTTTATGGCTTACCAATGTATGTAATAAAGGCAAGTACATTTTGGTGATCACTATGAAATTTCCTTGTTTATAACTAGGAATGTTTAGCCATATGTTAAATTTACTAAAATTATCTTTTGTTTTGTCTTTGTTATCCTCACCTGAGGATATGTTTTCCATTGATTTTTAGAGAGAGTGGAAGGGAGGGAGAGGGATAGAAAGAAAAACATCGATGTGAGAGACACATCTATCAGTTGCCTCCCGCACACACCCTGGCTGGGGCTGGGGATTGAGTCTGCAGGGAAGTATGTGCCCTTGACCTAAGGCCCTTCCATCTTTGGGCTGCTCTAACCTGGCTAGGGCAATATTATATTTTTATTAAAAAAAATATTTTATTGATATATATATTTTTTTATAGAGAGGGATAGAGAGCTAGAAACATCGATGAGAGAGAGACATCGATCAGCTGCCTCCCAACACACCTCCTGGGGAATGTGCCCACAACCAAGATACATGCCCATGATCAGAATTGAACCTGGGACCTTTCAGTCCACAGGCTGATGCTCTATCCACTGAGCCAAACCAGTTAGGGCAATATTTTTAAGTACTAGTACTAGGACTACTGGTAACTGCTAATTGTATTCTGTGCTTTCAGTATTAAGGGATTTTTCTTTTTTAACTCATCATATAGAAGTTTATTTAATTTAGTAATACCAAATTCTCACAGATTCTGGCCTTTATGAATTGGATCAATAACAAATTCCTTTAACCTTTCTAGATTCAAATTCAGGCTCCATCACTGTTTGTGAGATTAAGAACAAGTTATGTGCCTTGTTTTCCCCTTAGAAAAATGGGAATATTACAGTGCCTACCCCATGAAGATGAAATAAGATGACCTACATAAAGCTCTTACCATGATGCCTAAAAACGTTTAGTAAATGTTACCCATTATCATTAACAAAAATTATTAAAAAATAAATTTACTTGGAATTAATATATAGATCCACCTTAAAATGGGGTTGTGTCCCAATAAACTCATCATTAGCTGAAAATATCGTAAGTAAAAAATGCATTTAATACACCTAATCTATTGAAAGTCATAGCTTATTATAGCCTAACTTAAACATGCTTAGTACACAGTACCCAGAAATGCTGGCAACACAGTACACTTAACCCACATGATCTCATTGCTAACTGGGAACTATAGCTTGTTGCTGCTGCCCACCATTGTGAGAGAGTACTGTATATCACTAGCCTGGGAAAAGATCAAAATTCAAATTTTGAAGTACATTTGAACCTTGAACAACACAGGGATTATTTTGTATGTTATCTGTATTACTGTATTCTTTTTTTTTTTTAAACATTTAATCACCTTTTTATTTTTTGTTTGTTTTTGTTAATCCTCACCCGAGGATATTTTTCTGTTGATTTTTAGGGAGAATGGAAGAGAGAGGGAAGGACAGAGAGAAACTTCCATGTGAGAGAAACACATCAATTGGTTGCCTCCTGCAGGAGCCCTGACCAGAGCCCAGGCCGGGGAGGAGCCTGCAACCAAGGTACATGCCCTTGACTGGAATTGAACCTGGGACTTCTTGGTCTGAAGGCTGATGCTCTATCTACTGAGCCAAACTCATAAGGAAATATATTTATAATACTGTACACATTTATTGAAAAAGATTCATGTGTAATTGGACTCAAGAAGCTCAAACCTATTTGTTCAAGGTTGAACTATACAGCTTCTACTGCACCTATATCATCACTATTGGACCGTTGTAAAGTCAAATAATCATAAGTTGGGACCATCTTTATAGAGGAGACACCAAGATATGGTTTAATAATTGAATTGTGTTACATGATATTATTAACTCAGGTATTATAGGTTTTCTGGAGGGCTTCTTTTTATAGTTTAAATTAATAACTTACGTAAAAATCACTTTTGCTAGAAGAAAAAGAGATCACTTAGGTGTTAGTATAAGTAAAACAGTAAACATTTCTGTCTCTTCTATTTTTAATGTTAATTGTTAAATCCATAAAAGTCTTATTACTTGGGGCTCAACAAGTTCATCAGCCAATCAGGAATTAGTATGCAAATTAACCCAAACAAAGATGGCAGATTAATTTGCATAAGCAGGTGCTGAGTGGTTGGGGTTGGGGTTGGGGTTGGGGGAAGATGGTGTTCTGCACCGCCCCAGCTGCTCCAGGCCTCTGGGCAATGTGGGAAGGCAGAAAGGCTCTGGGCCAGAGCGAAAAGGTGGCTCCTTCAGGAGTGAAGGTGGTGCTGGCAGCCAGGGGAAGGGTCATGACAGGGGGAAGGGGGGGTGGTGGGAGGTAAATCAATCGAATCGCACCCACCTTGGCTGGCCTGGCGCCAGTGCATGTCATAGTGTGGCCATCCTGAACGTTGTCCAGACGGTCGTTCTGCTGTTTGGTGGTTTGGTCGATTACGCTTTTATTATTATAGATAATAGATAGAGGTTAGCTTACAGATTTCAGAGGAAACTGTAAAATAGTTGTCAAGAATGGAGGCTTAGAATAGATTTAGCCTTAAATTTTTGGCCAGCTATTATACCTTGTCTATACATTTGATTCCCTAGCTGTATAATGAAGATAAGATGATTAACATGTATGATTATGTCTATAAAATACTTAGAACAGGGAGGGTCTAGCAAATAAAAATAAAAAAGTTGTAATTATGATGATAGGATTAACTGTATGGTTTTATGTTCTGTGTATTCTTTTGAAGCTTTTTTTTTTTGTTAAATATATTTTATTGATTTTTTACAGAGAGGAAGGGAGAGAGATAGAGAGCCAGAAACGTCGATGAGAGAGAAACACCAACCAGCTGCCTCCTGTACACCCCCTACTGGGATGTGCCCGCACCAATGTATGTGCCCTTGACCGGAATCGAACCTGGGACCTTTCAGTCCACAGACCGATGCTCTATCCACTGAGCCAAAGCGGTTTCAGCTCTTTTGAAGTTTTTATGTTTGCTTTTTGTGCATCAAAGTTCTTATCTCCTCTAAGATTTGTGTGTGTGTGTGTGTGTGTGTGTGTGTGTATATATATATATATATATATATATATATATATGGTTTCTTTTTTCTTTTTTAGGGAGTTCCAATGAATTCACTCAGGTTTCTCTTTGAAGGTCAGAGAATTGCTGATAATCACACTCCAAAAGAAGTGAGTAAGACGTCTTCTTTGAGTTAAGAAAAATTTTAAATTCTGCATTGAATGATTTGGTTCACTGGTATTAAACTCTCCACTTCTTTTTTGTTGTTGTCGTTGTTATTAAACTGCCCACTTCTTGAATATTCTCTGATTTAAGTGCTATATTATATTATTTGTCAGAGAGAAAAAGAATATTTTGAATTGAAATTCCCATATATTTCCTTCAAAAGTGCCAATAAAAAGAGAGATTGAAAGTAAAATAAGTAAAAGTACTGAGGCTGTCAGAATACACATATCTTTTTTAAAAAATTTATTTAATTTTTTTACTGAGAGGGAGAGGGATAGAGAGTTAGAAACATCGATCAGCTGCCTCCTGCACACCTCCTACTGGGGATGTGCTCACAACCAAGGTACATGCCCTTGGCTAGAATCAAATCTGGGACCTTTCAGTCTATAGACTGACACTCTACCCACTGAACAAAACTGGTCTTGGCTATTACGTCTTTTGGAAGACGGACAGATGTTCCTCAAATTTGGCAGATTTCTGGTACACTTTCCTGGTGATGGTGACCATTATGGTTTGATTTTGACTTTTTTTTAAAAAAAGATTTTACTGCATTTTAGAGAGAGACAAAGTGGGAGAGGGAGAGAGAGAGAAACATCAGTGTGAGAGGAAAACATCGATTGGCGGCCTTTTGCAACAACCCCTACTAGGGATCCAGTTTGCAGCCCAGGCATGTATCCTGACAGAATGGAGCTAGCAACCATTTGGTGCACGTGCCTGGTCAGGGTTCAATTTTGACTTTTGACCATTTTAAGAACTTGATACAGAAACTTAGAATATATATTAATGTATTTGGCTATGTTACCTTAATTTATGTTTTTAAGTGCTTCTGTGTCTTTGTTTTATCATATAACCTGGTTTGTTCTGTTTATATAGTCCTTTAATTTGGGTTTGTCTGACACTTCCTTATTATTAGATTCGGTTTTGTATTTTTGATTCGGTGGCACAGAGTGAAGCTGTGTACTTGTGAGTACATCACACCAGGAAGTACATGGTGACCATTTGTCTTGTGGGTAATACTAACTTTGGTAACTTAAGGTGGTAACTGCTAGATTTATTATAAAGTTACCATTTTTCTTTTTAATTTGTAATTTGTAGGGGAATACTTTAAAATTTAATATTCTTCTTGGGTTATTGGCCAGTGAGGGCCCCTTCAGGTTGGTGTCTGTTTTTTTTAACGTCTCCATATTTTTAAAAGTTTAAAAAAAAAATTTTTTTTTATTGAATTCAGAGAGGAAGGGAAAGGGAGAGAGAGATAGAAATATCAATGATGAGAGAGAATTGTTGGTCAGCTGCCTCCTGCACACCTCCTACAGGGGATTGAGCCCACAACACAAGTATGTGCTCTTGCCCAGAATCGAACCCGGAACCTTTAAATCCACTAAGCCAAACCTGTTAGGGCTTTGTAAAAGTTTATTTGGAAGTGATTTTCAACTTGCAGAAGAGTTGCAATAGTAGTACAAAAAAATTTTACATTCTCCCACCTAGATACACCTGTTTTAATATTGTTCCACCTTTGCTTATTACTTTTCTCCCCTCTTCATCCCCCCCCCCCCCCATTCCCATGTATAAGGGTATATATATCACTTGAACCACTTGGGAGTAGGTTGCATGTCTATGGCCATTTACTACTTAATATTTTATTTATTTATTTGTTTATATTTTACTATTTAATATTTTAGTGTGTATTTCTTAAGATCAAGTACATTTTATGTAACCATAATACTGTTAATCAAAGTCAGTACACTTAATATTATTAGAATACTTTAAGCTACAACCTAATTTTATCATTTGTCCCAATTATGTCTTTTATAATAAACTAGAGGCCTGGTGCATGAAAATTCATGCACTGGAGAGGGTTCCCTCAGCCCAGCCTGCCCCCTCTCACAGTCTGGGAGCCCCCATCGATCAGGGTAAGGTGACGCCCCATCACACCTCTGCTGCTGCCACTGCCGGCAGTGCAAGCCTCTGCGGACCCCGGTTACCTGAGCCTTGGGGGGCCCTGGGCGCTGGGCAGCTGCCATCTGAGGCTTGCCTATGCCTCAGGCGGCCTGGGCATCTGCAGGGCTGAGGGGACTGGGGGACTCTGGAGGCAGGCACATGGAGCAGTTGGGTTCGCCTGGAGGCAGGCCCAGCTTTGCCGTGTGCCTGCTGCCCTGGTGGGGCTGAGGGGCCGGGGCGCCACCATCTTTGAGGTGTGACAGTCAATTAGCATATTCCCTCCTTGTTGGCTGTGGGCACTGCCATCTTTGCATTGGTGTGAGAGTCAATTAGCATATTCTCTCTTTATTAGATAGGATTTTCTCCTGTCACAGGATCCAGTTCTGTGTCAACATATTTTACTCAAGTGCCTTTTTAATCATCTTTAATTTGGAACGTTTCCTCAGCTATTCTTTGTCTTCCGTTACATATATAATTTTAAGGAATACAAATCAGTTGTTTTTCACAAAGTCCTGGGTTCATGTTATGTATTTTTGGATTAGATATTACATAATTGGTGATGTGTCTTTCCTTCTCAGGGTGTAGTATCTGGAGCACACAAAGCCCTTGATGGGCGGTGTTAATTTTGTAAAAAAAAGAAAAGAAAAAGTTTTTATTGATTTTAGAGAGAAGGGGAAAGGAGAGTGATAGAAACATCGATGAGAGAAACTTCAGTCTGCTGCTTCCTGTACACCCCCTACAGGGGGTTGAGTTACAACCTGGGCATGAGCCCTGACTAGGAATTGGACCATGACCTCCTGGTTTGTAGGTTAATACTCAAATACTGAGCCACACTGGCCCAGCAAAATATTATTATTTTTTTAATCCTCACCAGAGGAGATGCTTAAAGACTGGAAGGAGGGAGGGACGGAGGGAGGAAGAGAGAGAGAGAAACAGAAACATCAATGTGAGAGAGAAACATTGATTGAAACTGCAGTCCTGGTATTTGTCCAGCAACTTTTTGGTGTATAGGATGATGCTCAACTAACTGAGCCACTCCTGTAGGCTTATTTAAACTATTAAATACACATTCCATTTTATATATATATTTTATATATATATTTTATATATATATCTATTTTATTGATTTTTTTTTTTTTTACAGAGAGGAGGAAGGGAGAGGGATAGAGAGCTAGAAACATCAATGAGAGAGAAACATCAACCAGCTGCCTCCTGCTCAGCCCTCACTGGGTTTGTGCCCACAACCAAGATACACGCCCTTGACTGGAATCGAACCCGGGACCTTCCAGTCCGCAGGCCGATGCTCTAACCACTGAGCAAAACCGGTTCCGGCCACATTCCATTATATTTTAAACTCCTCTAACGTCCTGTTCAGTAAATAAAAGTTTTATATGGTGAAGAAGCTGGAAAGTGAAATTAAGCAAAATAATATTATAAATGACTTCACTGACACATCTCTGTGTCTTTAGATTAAAGGAACCAGGACTCATCGCCTTAGAACAGTGTAACTATGGATTGCCTTTGTATCCTTTTCTTTAAAACTGTGGCCACATAATTGCAGCCAATTTAAAAAACAAAACAAAACAGTGCTTTTATGTTCTAAAATATTTTCATTTTCTCTTACAGCTGGGAATGGAGGAAGAAGATGTGATTGAAGTTTATCAGGAACAAACAGGGGGTCATTCAACAGTTTAGATATTCTTTTTAATTTCTTTTCTTTTCCCTCAATCCTTTTTTATTTTTAAAAATAGTTCTTTTGTAATGTGGTGTTAAAACGGAATTGAAAACTGATGCCCCCATCTCTTTAAAACATCTGGTAATTTGAATTCTAGTGCCCATTATTCATTATTGTTTGTTTTCATTGTGCTGATTTTTGGTGATCAAATGTCAGCCTCCTTCATATTGCCCTCTCCTTTTGAAATATTACGTGTGTGCACAGGGAGGCCACCTTTTCCAGGACTGTGCATTTTCAGGCTTGTGATATAAATAGAGTCGACCAATGCAAGTGTTCATAATGACTTCTAATTGGCCCTGAAGTTCTAGCATGTGATTGCTTCACTCCTGGACTATGACTTTCAGTGGGAGGTGGAAGTTTTTCAGAGAACTCAACTGTGGAAAAATGACCTTTTCTCAGCTTGAAGCTACTTTTAAAATCTGAAGGTCTGGACCAAAAGAAGAGGAATATCAGGTTGGAGTCAAGATGACCAATGAGGTGAGAGTAAAGACTAACTCCAAAGATGGCTTCACTGAAGAGAGAGCATTTTAAGAATAAAGAAAAATCTTGTCAGAAGATCCCAGAACAGTTTTAATTTTCATTAGCAGTTAATAGAGTTATTCATGCAGAAGTGTGCAGAACACTGCTCTTTTTGATTTTATTTGTACTTTTTGGCCTGGGATTTGGGTTTTAAATGGACATTATCTGTACCAGCTTCGTTAAAATAAACAAAATGTTTGTAAAAATCTTACTAATGTTCCATTTTATTTTTATTGTATAGAAAGAAAAAAATGGCTGAAACAAGATTTTCTTGCATAATACTGGAAATTATTGTTTGTATATGGAACAAATAAATTTTTTCTTCAGTACTGTACAGTGATGATTGTGACTTTGAAGCACTGAAAGTTACTGAAGTGCCTTCTGAATTAAGGATTTAATTAAGGCCACAATACCTTCTTAAATGCTCAGTGTTCTGTGTGTGTTTTTAAAACTTGATATTTCTGTATGGTGCATATATATGACACTTATCCAGTCATGTTGAATAAATGGGCACATCAAAAATTCTTAATTGATTTATATTGATAATTTCAGTTTTTCCTCTAACAAAATGTCCTCTGCTTAAGGTTTGGTATATTTTGTTTATATTTTTCTTTCATTTCTTTATATCTTATATATTTCAAATTAAAATACCAAATTAGTTTCTATTAGGGGGCCTAACCTTTTAAATTTTATTTTTATTGATTTTTTTAGAGAGAAGGGAGACATTGATTTGCTGTCTCCTGCTCGCCCCCTACTGGGGATCAATCCTGCAACCCAGGCATGTGCCCTGACTAGGAATCAAACCATGACCTCTTGGTTCCTGGGTCGATGTTCAACCACTGAGCCACACCAGCTGGCTAACCTCTTAACTGTTTAAGTTATCACAGAATTTAGTATATCTGTGAAAACACATACCGTATTTTTCGGACCATAAGATGCACTTTTTTCCCCCCAGAAGTGGGGGGGAAAAGTCCCTGCATCTTATGGTCCAAATATAGCCTACACATATACTTTAAAAAAAAAGGTTTTTTTACTTGCCCGGCTCTGTGTGCTTGCTGCAGCCACTGTCCATTCCTCCGTGCCCAGAGTGTCTGCCCCGCTCTGTAAACCCCGAGTGGTAGAGGAGTTCCCATGTATGGTAGTCAGCCTCCATGCCCTCGCTGCAGCCATATCTCCATGTCAGCTCAGGTGCGGTGTACGGTAACTGCGTAATCCAAACCGTAATCATCGCCTGTACCCCTTGCTGGCCCGTACTCCGTGCCCGGAAGAATGCCGCGTCTATTCCCCCAATCATTCCTCTCCGCCCTCTGTTGCTGTGCTTGACTACTGGGTAGGCGTACTGTAGATCTCCGCCCACCAGTAAACTCTGCCCTCCGCTGGATGCCCTGATTGATAACGCCGCTATGTCAGAATTTCTCTTCATACTATTATACCGGTAACTGTCAAAATGTTTGTACTGCAACAAACTTCATACCGGTATATTGTATGCAGAGACTTTCTGTGATACCAAACCAATAACATTTACCATAATGTAAAACACTCTCCAGCCTCTTCTCTCACCACTACAATGTGTAGATACCCATAAACTATGTAAAGAAAGCATAGAAAGTCTCTCCATGATTTATGGGTTTACACACTGAACTTTTTGTTTCAGAATCTTTTTTTCTTCATTTCCCTTCTCTAAAAACTGGTGCGTCTTACGGTCCGGTGCGTCTTATGGTCCGAAAAATACGGTAATTCAGTTTCATGTTATCTCAAGTAGAATGCCATCTGAACATTTGAGAAGAGCAAATAAAACCTATCTCTAATGCATTTTATAAATCGTTATAAATTCCCTAATCAGGTCACCTGTTGAAAAATAATTGGCTTGCCTTATAAACCTATATCTGGCCCTATCTGAAAAATTATTTGTATTATACATGTATAGTCTAGGTAAATTAGAGCTTTTAGATCGTCACCTGATATTTATTATATTACTATATGTTTATCAGTGATTAGAAATTAGGCCCATTTGTAGAAAGTATTCATTGAGTTGAATGTTTGTATCAGGCCTGAGTAACAAACCAGATAGGCTATTTGAGCTATTCAGAATACATGAATATGTAGTTTGGTATCTTAATTTTGTTTTCATCTCTGAAGGATCTCAGGACTTAGGTAGTAGAGCTTAGCTACTGGGAAATAACTTTTGTTTGCAGTTAACTGGATTCTTCCAAATGCATTGCATTCTGCTATGGTTAAAATGTGCTTGTAGTGTTGATAAAAATAGGCCTTTCACAGAAATAATTTAATAGCAAATCAGATTTGGACAGGAGCTTGAAGTACATTTAGTGTAGCTACTCTACATAGTGCTTGACTGCAACATCCTAAATTTGTAAAAGAAGGGAGAGAATAAAAGTCAGTAATGGTAATTTCCATGACAGGGATGTTTTCCTTGAGTGTTCTTTCTTATGTTCTTGGTTGAATTATTTGAGATGCTCCTTTTTCATCTGATAAATTATTTTTTTAAATATATTTTTTTATTGATTTTGTACAGAGAGAAAGGGAGAGAGATAGAGAGTTAGAAACATCTATGAGAGAGAGTCATCGACAGCTGCCTCTTGCACATCCCCTACTGGGGATATGTCCGCAACCAAGGTACATGCCCTTGACCGGAATCGAACCTGGGTCCCTTCAGTCCCCAAGCTGACGCTCTATCCATTGAGCCAAACCGGTCTCGGCTCATCTGATAAAGTATTAATGAATGAACAAATGAATGAGTAAATGTGTAAGTAGGGTCAACAAAGTTGAGAAAAAGTGCATGACATTCGCTATGACTAATAGCCAATGTTTGGGTCATTTTATTGCTAATTAAATAAGCATCAAGTCTAATAAGTTCAATAACACAGCAGTACAGAATCAAAATTATGCTTGACTTCTGGATTGTAGAAATGCAGTTCCTGTAGAAAGCAAGTACCTTACAGGCATTAGTGGGAAATTTGAGGAAATCACCTGCAAAAACTTAAGTTTTTCAGCTGTGGACATGAAGTTTAGCATAGGGCAAAGGAAATTTGTGGGAAAGTTCAGGTTCAGATAATGCTTTGGTATCCTTTTGTAGATCTTTGCTGAGGCTCTCATTGCCTTTAATAACCATTCCATAATTAATCCTAGAAACTGATAGTGTGATTTAAAAAAAATGGAACAATTATGTGTTTGATTTGTTCTAACTTGCATTTAAATAGTGACATATGGCTTATTGGACAGTGCAGTTCTAGAATCTATATTTTGAGGGAGTGAGATTATTCTCACAAAACAGCTCAAACTGCTCAAATGAACATTTATCAATTGATCATCCTGTTATAGACATTAGCTTTTAGATTCTTAGGATGAACTGGATGTGGTTTTGCTTTATAAAGACAATATAAAAAAATTCTTACTATATGAATGAGCTCCTCTTAGCAAAATCATAATTTGCATTATAAAATTTCCATTTACTTGCAACTCTTTCAGACACATTAATGAAAATGGACTAGCCTAAGATTATGTTAGTGCCTTACTAAATGAAATTTACTGAAATTCAAACAAGTTATGAAATTTTGGGTCAATTTTAGGCACCAAAGCTTCTGAATTGAATTGATGGTGATGCTAGAGAGGAAAAAGGATTTGGATGAGTGAAGAGTTTTAACTCGGTTGAGTAGTGTATTCGTGGCAGGGAGGATTGTTGGGAATGGAATGAAGTTAGGTGTGGGTTGAGGTGGACAAGAGGAGATGGAACTAACTGGGCTCAATAAGGAACATCATTATAGAAGGAAATTTCTCTCTCTTATCACCTCCCAACTTACATTTTAGTTTTCTTCTAGCCTTAAGATCTGGGTATTTGTAGGAACTGGAAGTAAGAGTAGACCCATGGTCTGGAAATGTTGTGTGCCCACTGCAGGCCATTGGCTTCCATGTGGAGTTCTTGATAGAAACGAAGATGTTTCCTCAAAGCAGACTTTTGCCTAGGGAGACAGCCCCACCCAAAATCCCAATACTGATTAAACATCCTGGGAATGGTCCTTATAAGCTAGGAGGAGAACTTTGGGTTTTAGTCATCAATTAGACTTGGCACTACTGATCTTGCATTTTAGTGTGCATCCTGCATCATCCTCTGTTCATTTAATTACACGTGAGGTTTATAGTATGAGCTTCCTACTGTGAAAGTAAAAGGAAAGGCATAATTCTCAGTTCTTAAAGTTGTATTGCTGGAAGGAACTCCCTTATTTTAGAGGGAAAAGCAGGCCAGAGAAATTAAAGTACCTGGGCCAGTATCACACAACGAAGAGGAAATACAGCCAATTGGCATTAAATTCTAACCCTGGAGTAAGGCTCGACTCACACATCCCTTTATTGCTTGGTTTTCTGTTTTCAGCTATTTGCATAAAACTGCTCAACTTCTCAGATGACCTGTCAGTTTTCTTTTTGTGCAAAATTGGACCTCCAATAGCTTGCTTTTGGTCTCAATATTTAATAAATCCAACCCTACCGCTATGACATGTGGAATACATAATTTTGAAATGGAATCAAGATTTCACTAAAGATCCATTTTGCGCTTCCCATAACAGATGAGGCAAGTCCAAGAGAGGAACAACTCAAGGTTAGGTGGGAAACCTTGAAATAGAATTCTGGCTGCCTTCTCTCTGGTTCCCTAAAGAGCATTAGCTTAGATGCAGCTTAGAGAGTCGATTAAAACCATGTTACCCAAGAGATCCTATTGTCAGAAGGATGCAGTGATCGTGACTATTTATTGTATGAGGGGAAAGGGGGGAATGCCTCTGGCCTGATGACTGGTTCTGGGCCTTTTCTCCTCACCAGGCCCTTGTGAGATCTGGTTTGAGTCTCTCTCTACAACCTCCTCTGGAGGTAGCCTTTATGCCTTGTTCACTTCCTGCCAGCCACACTGTCTTTGATTCTTCTAACATATCAGCCTCATTCCTTTCGTTGGCTCTTTGCCCTTCCTGTTTATGTGGCTAAGTCCATGTCATTCAGATTTCACCTTATATATCTGAGAGGTCTTGCCCTGGCCAACCAATCTGAACTAAGCCCCCTGCAATCCCATCAGAGGTTTAACGTTTCTCTCTATAGCATTTACCGGTACTGCCAGCTAAATTACAAATAGATTTGCTTAGGGTATGTTGTCAACCCCCCTCCCCTAGCAGGTAAGCGGCATGGTAGAAGAGAGAGCTCTTCCTTACTCCTGAATTCCCAGGAGTAGTGTTTCTGTTCTCAGTACTTCTTGAGAAAGGCAGGTGGTTCAGACTTCGGGGGTTGGAGGTTGAAGGGGGTGGAAGGGGAGTGTCTTCGATCTGGTCCTGCCTCTGGCCCTGATCAAGATCCTTCCTGTCCTATAAACCAGAGGACTGAGATCTGCTCTAAACTCCCAGCGTCAATACTAGTTCTGTAAGCCATGAAGAAATTCTGCGACATTGTAGCAAAAGACTATTTTATGTTTTTCAAACTGTGCTCAGGAGAGTGGGAAAACTTCACTTGCCCCAGGGCGGCACAAGTGCCAGCACCCGGCAATGAAGCCCTTGAATAATCCCCGGACGGTAACCATTGCCCACACGCCCAGTACCTGGCTCGTTCCTGGGCTTGTGTCATGGCTTTCTCCAGAGCCAGCCTGGCTGCTTCCTCTTCCTGTTGCCTCCTCTCCTCTGCTTCCAGCCGAGCCTTCTCTTCTGCCTCCTGTTTCTGCCGTTGGTACTCCAGCCGCTCTTCTTCAGCCATTTCCATCAGGCGTCTGTGTTCCTCAGCCAGCCTCATTTCCAGTTCCTGCTGCCTTTGCTTCTCTGCCTCTGCAGAATAGAAAAGGGGCTGGTCTCACCCGGGGTCTCTCTCGGAGAACACAGGTCTCAGGTCCGCCTCCAGCCTGGGATTCCCAGGGATTCCCCGGAGAAGTGTGGCTGCTTGCCAGATCCTCTGTGGGGCTGCCCTTGGGGTGAATTGACTGAGAGGATATTATCAAGCACCTACTATGTGCAGTACATTGTGCAAGGAACACAACACCTTGGGAGAGGATTTTCCAGAGCCGAGTGGTCTTCTGAGGTGGTTTGCAGATGGGTTGAGGAAAGGGGATCAGGTCAGGGTCTGAAGAAACTTGGTGCTTACTCAGCTGGACTGTCCAGTCCAAAGAGTGCCAGATGCAGCAGTTTCTTTCTCTTCTCAAAAGTGAGGCTGTAGAGAGTGCCCACATCAGCACCAGCAGGGCGGCCCTGAAGCTATCCAGAGGTTTGAGTGTTTCCATCTGCTGGGGAAGGAAGCTGGGAGCAGGGCTGTCTCTAATTCAGGCAGCCCCTGAGCAGAGGGCAATGGGAAGGACCAGGTCTCTGTTCAGGGGATTCCTGAATTCAGAGCAGGAGCCAAGGATCGTTTCCACAAGTGAGTTTTTTTTTTTTTTTTTTTTTTTTTTTTTTTTAATCTATCTCAACTCACTATAGTCACACATTTCAGATATCTTAAAAAAAAAAAAAGAAAGATATATTTATAGTGCTTCACACACTAAGAGCCAGGATAGGAATAGCTCCTGGGAGTTCAAATGAACTCCCACAGTGGGAGGAAGATGCCTCTGCCCAGATGGACAGGAAAGGCAGAGAGCTCCAGAACCCCCTCACCAGCGCGCACGGCTTCTTCCTGCTGCTGCTTCCTCTGCAGCGCCTGCAGCCTCTGCTGCAACTCCTCCTGCAGCTGCCGGGCCCTCTCCTGGGCCGCCTGCCGCTGGAGCCACTGCTGTCTCTCCTTCTCCTCCTGCCGCTGCCGCTCTTCCTCTTGCTTCTGTTTCTTCAAGCTGAGAGAACACAAGATGGTCAGGGAAATGGCAGGGAAAACGGGCATCCTCGTGGGCTTTGCAGGCCATGTGGAACATCCCCCTCAGTGGAAGCAAAGGCAAGAACACCTGGCGTGTGCCTGGAACCACAAGCCCAGCTGTTTGGGCACAGCTCCGAGCTCTGGAGCGAGGGTCTTACGTCCCCACAGCTTCCTTTCCCACGTCCATAACATGGATTTTAGAACTCCCAGCTCACAAGGATGCTCTGAGGCAAAAATCACTCTACTGGAAAAACTAAAAGAAAAAAGAGTCAAAAAATTTGAAGATAGTGTAAGAAGCCTCTGGGACAACTTCAAGCGTACCAACATCTGAATTATGGGGGTGCCAGAAGAAGAAAGAGAGCAAGATGCTGAAAACCTATTTGAAGAAATAATGTCAGAAAAATTCCCCCACCTTGTGAAAGAAATAGACTTACAAGTCCAGGAAACACAGAGAACCCCAAACAAGAGGAATCCAAAGAGTACCACAGCAAGACACATCATAATTAAAATGCCAAGAGCAAAAGACAAAGAGAGAATATTAAAAGCAGCAAGTGAAAAACAGTTAATTACCTATAAGGGAGCACCAATACGATTGTCACCTGATTTCTCAACAGAAACTATGCAGGCCAGACGGGAGTGGCAAGAAATAGTCAAAGTAATGAATAACAAGAACCTACAACCAAGAATACTCTACCCAGCCAAGCTGACATTCAGAATTGAAGGTCAGATAAAGAGCTTCACAGATAAGAAAAAGCTAAAGGAGTTCATCAACACCAAACCAGTACTATATGAAATGCTGAAAGGTATTCTCTAAGAAGAGGAAGAAGAAAAAGGTAAAGATAAAATTATGAACAACAAATACATATCTATCAACAAGTGAATCTAAAAATCAAGTGAATTAAGAATCTGGCTGAAACCGGTTTGGCTCAGCGGTAGAGTGTTGGTCTGCAGACTGAAGGGTCCCAGGTTTGATTCCAGTCAGGGGCATGTACCTTGGTTGCGGGCACGTCCCTGGTGGGGGTTGTGCAGGAGGCAGCTGGTCGATGTTTCTCTCTCATCGATGTTTCTAGCTATCTCTCTCCCTTCCTCTCTGTAAAAAATCAATAAAATATATTATTAAAAAAAAGAATCTGATGTACAGAATAAACTGGTGAATATAATAGAACCAGGGGCATAGAAAGGGAGTGGATTGACAACTCTCAAGGGGAAAGAGGTGTGGGAGGTATGGGAAGAGTCTGGACAAAAATCGTACACCTATGGATGAGGACAGGTGGGGTGGGAACCAGGTGGAGGGGAGTTATGGGGGGGGGCGGGGAAAGAGGAACAACTGTAATAATCTGAACAATAAAGATTTATTAAATTAAAAAAAAAGATCGAATGAAACAAGGGCCACAGACAGGTCTAGTGTAAAGCAGACAGTGTGGGCAGGGCTCACCAAACTTTTTCTTGACTAAATCGCAAGGCCCTGCCTGGAAGGCCCCAGGAACCCGCAGGAACCCCTAATGAGCGTATTTTCTCTGGTCCAGATTTTTCCCAGTATAGCTGAGGACAGAGCGAAAGGAGACATGCTGCTTTACTTCGGCGCATGAGCTGCAGAACCAGCTTCAACCCTCAACACAGCCTTTTCCTCTTTCCTAATGTGGCCATGGCCTTGGGCTGCGGCTGGACCCACCGGATCTCCTCCGCGTGGCGTCGCTGCTCCAGCTCCAGCTCCTCCTTCATCTTCTCGGCCCTCTCCAGCTGCTCCTGCCGGAGTCGCCTCTGCTCCTCCTGCTCCCTCCTCTTCCTCTCCACCTCCAGCCGTCTCATCTCGGCCTTTTCCGCTCGCTGCCTGTCCCAGAGAGCTCTCTCCTGCTCCCTCTTGGCCAGGAGAGCCTAAGGAACCAGAGAGTTCTCCGTGTGAAGGACCACAGGGAGTTGGTTTCAGCTCAAGCCCCCGCCGCTCCAGATGAGGTCGTCTCCGTTCTGAGATGGAATCAGTGCGTTGTGTCCACGCTCTGACCTCAGCCGCATAAGCTGCTGCCCCCAGCATGGGCTCTGGGGCCTAACTGACCCAGGTGCAAGTCTCTCTCTCACTTGCTTCAAGATTTGGAGACCGCAGCTTCGTTTCTCCGATACCATCTTTCTCTGGGGGCTAGTACTGGGATTAACTGGATGGTGAAAGCGTCAACATAATGTATGGCACGGACTGTTTGTATGTCTAGCGCTCTCACCCCAAGCTGCACTATCGAATCACCCGAGGAGCTTTGAAAAACTACTTGAGACCAAGCCCCCACCCAGTTCAATGAAATGATCATAGTTAGGTGGGAGGCAGCTAGGGTTTTACAAAGCGTCTCTGATGATGCCAGGGGCAGGCACCCCAGGTTCTAGGTAAAGGCTGTTTACCAGGGGCAGTCTTAGGTCAGACTCACATTTAACTCCAGACAAACCCACTTTTCCCATGAAAAGGTTCTCTTTCCTCCCTGCTGCCTCTTCGTCAGTCAGAGATATGCCCATGAGGGGAAACTTGAAAGGCAACGCTTCCATGCGTATCCAACTTGGGGTGAAACTTCCTTGCTTGATAGTCTTTGCAGAGGTAGCGTGGCACTACGGGTTGACAAAAACAATCTAAGAAATTCTGATAATCTAGCAGTCTCAGAGAAGCTCTGCACACCGTTTGAACTTTCCATCTGCTGTGTAGAGCAGAATTCTGTAACCAAGACAGCTGGGAGGACTGAGACCTATAAAGCAAACATCTTTCTGAAATCCTTATACATAACTAGACATCTGATGCACAAAAATGTGTGCAAGAGGAGGCCTGCCTTCCCCCGGCTGCCAGCACCGGCTTCCCTTCGGCACCTGGGACCCGGGCTTCATTCCAGGACAGGCTTTGCTCCAGGTCGGCTTCCTATAGAGCATATGTGTCAAACACAAGGCCCGCGGGCCAAATCCGTCCCGCCAGGCCTTGCAATGTGGCCCGCACCGCGCTGTCATCACTGCACTCCGGCTGCGTTTCCATCACAATGACAGTTTATGACTGTTCAGTAAACTATTCGGCCTGCGATTTAGGCTGTATTTTAGATTTTGGCCCCTTCTCTGATTGAGTTCGACACCCCTACTATAGAGGGACATCCAGTCTAATTAGCATATTACCCTTTTATTAATATAGATAATCTAAAAGAGCTACAAGCATTCTGATTTTGGAATCAAAAGACCGGGTTTAAGTTTTGGCTTTACCACTCAATGGTTATATAAACCTGGCAACAGACGTTTAGGTCCTTTAAGCCTCAGTGTCCAGGTCTGTAAAGTAGAACTAACTAATCATACCTAAAAGTGTGGCTGTAAAGATCAAATGAGATTCAGCGGAGTTGTACCATATGCATGTAACGAAGGCAAGTTTAACCGCAGTGGTTCAACGGGGTGTTTTTGTAGAGTCTAAGGATACTTTTTATTTTTTACAATATTTTTAAATGCAGTTCAGCACTTTTACCTCCGTGGAAGAAATAGCTGAGGAAAAATTGGCTGTTTTGGTTTTTGAGAATGTACCTGTAAGGTATTAATTTTGGTTAATTGCAGGGATTTTCAAGGGTAATTTTCCTTATACTCACTTAGTTTTTCTCTTAAATACTTGACTTTGGAATCAAGGCCCCTGGAACAAAGTGACTCTTCCTTGCAAAAGCACCCGGGGAGGCAGGTGTGTGGGAGCCGCCTGCGGGCCAGCCATGGGCCACGGAAAAGCATGCTAGAAGGAAGGGATCGCTACTGTCTTTGGAGGCAAGCAAGGCATGAGCTTCAGGCCAAGTCAAGGATATGTGCTTGGTTCTGATGGCCTGAATTCACCTTTTCTTGTAACTGTGAGGCCTGTACTCTCACCAGATGGCTCCTGTGCCAACTTCCGGCTCTTTAAGCTGAGGGGGCGGGGATACATGCTGTGGAAGTTGGGGAGCCTCAGTGTGCATCATTGCAGAGGTCCTTTGCTACCCTATGACTTGGACCAGGTCTGGCTTTTTCAAAGTCAGTAGGCGAGTAAAACCATTCTGCAGTAGAGCCGTTTCTGTAACGGAAGTAGAATGTGGGCAGTGAGGACAGAGGTCCCTCTGGCTGGAGCGAGAACATTGGGGCCTACCTTCGGAGGATCCGCAGGGCTTCTGTCCACTTCGGATTCCGTGTTTCCCGTGACAGCCACAGTCGGCGTGGGCGGGGATCGTCTTGCATCTATTGAAACCTGGCTCTCCTGAGCGTCAGCTCCGGGAGAAAGCCACGGCTCCTCTGCATCAGGGCTCGAAGGAAGGGAACCGCCTTCTTCTGTTCCCCAAGAGCTGAAGACTTCAGACCCACTCAGCTCTGCTGCTGTTTCCCGGCTTCTTTCCTTCCGTGTCCTAGTCCTCTTGACTCCTGATTGTTTTCCTTTGGGAATTAGCTCTGGTTTCTTCTTGGCCTTTGAGTCCTTTGACTTTCCTGGGTGAGAATAGTCAGGGACAGAGGTATGGCTAAGTAAATGTGATCTCTATGCATCCTTTTCAGTACTAAATACACACACACACACACACACACACACACACACTAATATTTAATATGGAATACTTCATAAATTTGCATGTCATCCTTGTGCAGGGGCCATACTAATCTTTGTATTGTTCCAATTTTAGTATATGTGCTGCCAAAGTGAGCACAAAAGGTATATATACATATACCTTTTGTATATATAAAGGACCTCTGCAATGATGCACACTGAGGCTCCCCAACTTCCAGGCCATGTATCCCAGCCCCCCTCAGCTTAAAGAGCAGGAAGTTGGCACAGGAGCCATCTGGTGAGAGTACAGGCCTCACAGATACAAGAAAAGGTGGATTCAGGCCATCAGAACCAAGCACATATATATATCCCAGCTGCCTCCTGCACACCCCTTACTGAGGATATGCCAGCAACCAAGGTACATGCCCTTGACTGGAATTGAACCTGGGACCCTTCAGTCTGCAGGCCGATGCTCTATCCACTGAGCCAGACCTGTTAGGGCTACATATAAGATGTGGGCGTTGTATGATATCATGTATGCAGAGCTCCTACTACAGTGGGTATTCAGTAAAGAGGTGCTAACATTATTACCATTCTCTCTCTCAGTGATCACAAGCCTCTAGGCAAGGCCAGTTCCGTCTGTCCGGGATAGTGACATGACACCTGGGGTCTACTGGTAGGAGACTCAAAACAGAATCTGTTCCATAGGATCCACACTGACTCTCAGTGACAACGCCCAGCCCAGCACACTCGCTTACCAACAACAGCCTTTCTTCCTCTGTGGACCTTTCCTTCTCTCTCCCTGGGGGGCCCCTTAGACTTGTCTGTCTTAGTTCTTTTCTTTCTCTTGACGTTGTCAGTCAACTCCATCTCCTCCTGAAGGTGAACATGGAAGGAAAGAGATTATGATTCAAGGGACCATGATACATGGGGGAAAGGGGGGTAAAAATCAAAGGAAGATTATGTTGAACAAGACGGAATGGCTTTGAATGGGAATGTGTGTGGGTTCCAGATGAAGCAGAAGAGCAGGTCTTGGAGAGTGTGGAGCCTAAGGTTCAGCCTTTGATTTTCAACTGCGAGGTATGATTTCACAGGAGAGAAGAGGAATAGAGTACATTTTATGATCTACCCTCCCCCCCTCTCCCCCCTTTTTTTTGTCTATAGAGCAGGATCAAAGTGAAGCAGTTTTCACCTTTGATAGATGGCTGTTGCCAGGATCACTGGCTAAGTGGTTTAAATCAAAGCCAGCTTTATTCACTGCTGCATCATTTGCTCCCTTTCAGGAAGCCTTAAACTTCCCTGTAGGATGCAACAACATGGAGGCTCCTTCTAAGAGAGGATGGCAGAGCAGGGCTATAGCTACCCACTCAGTACCTATGATATTGTGACATAATAAGAAATATACATTTGGCCTTCCGTCCTCAGTCCCTGGCACAAAGCTCCTAAAAAATTTAACTTTTTAGGAGCATGAAGGAAGTATGTTTTGTTATTCATACCGGGCTCCTTTCAACAACACCTGAGATTATGTTAACGAGGAGACTTTTGGAAAGTCCCTAAGGAGAGGGAACTGGTTACCAAGGGAAGCAACCAGGTGATTAGAGGGTTGGACCTTTTAGCCTCACCCCCCCCCAACCGCAGAGCTGGGAGAAGGGCTGGCGTTTGAGTTAATCGCCAGTGGCCAATGATGTAATCAGCCATGCCTGTGTACTGAAGCCTCCATAAAATCCCAAACTGAAGGAGCTCAGAGAGCTGCTGGGTTGTGGACACTCCATATGCTGGGAGGGTGGCAGACCCCAAACTCCACGGGAAAGAAGCTCCCGCAGTTGGGACCCTGCTATGTATTTCTTCATCTGACTAGTCATTTGTGTCCTTTATCATAAACTTTGTAATAAATCAATTGTAGCAAAAGGAAATGTTTCCCTGAGTTTTGTGAGCCATTCCAGCAAATCATCAAACCTTTGGGAGTGGGGGTGAGAAGCCCCTATTGAAAGCTTGAGGAGCATAGGCAACAACCTGAGACTTATGATTGACATCTGAAGTGGGGGCCGTCAGTGTCAGAATTGACGTGGACACCCAGTTGGTGTCCGAGGGAGTTGGAGAAATGGTTGTTGTTGGACATTTGGTGTCAGAGGTGGTGTAAGTGTAGGAAAACGGAAGTTTCCTTTTGGTACCTTTGTAGGAATTAGAAACAGGCACCCTGTCCTTCAGTGCTGAGGGACAGGACCTGGTGAGCAGGCCAAAGGCTGGATATCAGCTCCGATTTTGCTCGCTTTGTGAGGTGCCTTTACGTAGTAAGCAATCTACACAGCTGCAGTGGGAGCCCTGCTGGGAGCATGAGCCAGGCGGGGCTTTTTGACCAAGCTCCTAGGTCTATACACTCACACGACTGGTGCTGGATGGTGTTTGCTGCTTGGACAACCTTGGTCTAGTCTTCCCTTCTTTCTCTTTTGGAAGAAGAGGTGTGTCAACAGGATCCAGGCCCTCTGGGGACTCAGGCCCAGGTTCTTTGAGTCTTCTGTGTAGATGGAATGCGTCATAATCTCTGCCCCTTTGAAAAAAAGCAAACCAATGGGACCAAACTAAAGAGAAAATTCTGGTGGACAAGGAAGAGAGAATGTGAACCCTGAGCACCTGTTCTCTGTCATTTCACACACCTGGTGGGCCCTCTTTCTGAATAAGGAAGATGAGAAAGTTTGGTCTTCCCTTTTGAGGTTGTCTCAGGCTCAGCTCTAAAACTTAGGTAGCAGGAAAAATAGTTTGCCTCTTTGGGATTGCATACTGACACCTTCACTTGAATGACAGAGGATTATCTACCTGAAATTTCTTCCACCAAAGGCATAGCTGAAAAATAAGGTGACCTTTAAGAAAGATTGCATAAGAAGATGCAACTACTCACCCATTCCTTTCTGCCCTTGGAATTCTATTCTTGGTCAAATTCATCCACTAAAAGGTCAAGTGGATGTGTTAGTTTGAGCTCCAGTAGAATTGTTGTCACTGACAGGGTGCCTTGTGGACAACTGACTTGTTTTCTCTGGGTAAAAAGGTCCTCAGAGACAGCCACATGGATTTCAGGAACAGCACAGCTACAGCTACTGTGTGCCAGGCCTGGTTCTGGGCACTTAATTTTTAGCTACATCGGTATTATATTTATTGTGCTATGCTAGCACAGGGCCTTACTATAGAAACTTCAGAAATATTTGTCAAATGAGGTAAATGGAATTTTCCTATAAATATATGAGTCTTTAAGTCATTCAGTGTCACTCTATAAAAACCCACAGAGGTATCCTTTAGAATTTAGGGCTGGGAAAACATTTATTTCCCCCGAGGAACAGGTATGCTGTAAATGAGAACCACAAACATGACCGTGTTGCTTTTTTCCCTTCCACGTTCAGGAATCTCTGTATCAAGCCTGAAAGTCTGTTCTTTAATCACACTGTCTATAGTGACTTTTGTGGAGTGTTGGTGTTCTTTTTTCTTTTCCTCCTGATTAAACAATTTCCCGCCCCCCCCCCCCCCCTCTGGTTTGTTATTGGAAGTAGTTTAAATCCATTTTGGAAAAAGATGAGGTATAAAAGTAAAAAACTAGTATTCTTCAGAGAGCTGCCTCTCCATTCAAGTGCCCTTCTCCCTTTGTTGGTAGGGAACACAAAGCCTTATTTTTTTAAAAAAATCTTTATTGTTCAGATTATTACAGCTATTCCTTGTCCCCCCCCCCCCCCCATATTTCTCCTTCACCTGGTTCCCCCCCACCCCATGCCCTTTCCCCCCCACTCTTGTCCTTAGGTGTAAGATTTTTGTTCAATCTTTTCCTGCATCCCCACACCCCTTCTCCCTGAGAATTGTCAGTCCACTCCATTTCTATGTCCCTGATTCTATTATATTATATACACCAGTTTATTCTATTCATTAGATTTTTTTCACTTGATTTTTAGATTCACTTGCTGATAGATATGTGTTTGTTGTCACTTTGTTGTTCATAATTTTTATTTTTACTTTTTTCTTCTTCCTCCTCTTGTTAAAGAATACCCTTCAGCATTTCATATAATACTGGTTTGGTGATGATGAACTCCTTTAGCTTTTTCTTATCTGTGAAGCTCTTTATCTGACCTTCAATTCTGAATGTCAGCTTGGCTGGGTAGAGTAATCTTGGTTGTAGTTTCTTGCTATTCATCACTTTTGACTATTTCTTGCCACTCACATCTGGTCTGCATAGTTTCTGTTGAGAAATCAGCTGACAGTCATATGGGTGCTCCCTTGTAGGTAATTAACTATTTTTCTCTTGTGGTTTTTAATATTTTCTCTTTGTCTTTTGCCTCGGCAATTTTAATTATGATGTGTCTTGGTGGATTCCTCTTATTTGGGGTTCTGTGCACTTCCTGGACTTGTAAGTCTATTTCTTTCACCAGGTGGGGGAAGTTTTAGGTCATTATTTCTTCAAATAGGTTTCCAGTATTTTGCGCTCTCTCTTCTTCTGGCACCCCCATAGTTCGGATGTTGGTATGCTTGAAGTTGTCCCAGAGGCTCCTTATACTATCTTCATATTTTTGGATTCTTTTTTCTTTTTCGGTTGGGTGTTTTTTGCTTCTTTGTATTTAAAATCTTTGACTTGATTCTTGGGATCCTCTAGTCTGCTGTTAGATCTCTGTATATTTTTTATTTCAGTCAGTGTATGCTTAATTTCTGATTGGTCCTTTTTCAGAAATTGAGGGTCTTACTAATTTTTCAGAGGTTTCTAGAAGATTTTTGAATAACCTTATAACAGTGGTTTTAAACTCTATATCCAGTAGTTTGCTTTTCTCCATTTCTTTCATTTGTGACCCTGTTTCTTTTTCTCCACATTTTCGCTGCTTCCCTGTGTTGATAGAGTGGCCTTGTGTGCTAGATGTCCTATAGGGCCAGTGGCTCAGCCTCCCCAATTACCTGAGGTGGACACTCTTGGTGCACCTGTTTGTGGGCTATATGGACAGTCTTATTGTAGTTAAACCTTGATTGCTGTTGGTATCACTGGGAGGAATTGACCCCTGGCCAACTGGCTGTGAGGACCAGCTGTGTCTACAGTGAGAGAACTACTATGCTGGAGACATTTATATGAGGCAAGACTTGCTTCAGAAGGGCTTTGACGCTCACTGAGTCTTCCCCCTGAGTGTGTCTCTTATGGATGTGAAGAGTTGTAATCTGGATGGTCTCTCTCTGACCACGAGGTACACTGGCTCTTGGACCTCCAAGGAAGTGAAAGTCAGCCACTGCCTGAGGCCACCCAGCAGGAGTTACAGAGAGATCTGCAGATTCCTCCTCTTCGTTTGGGGTTTGGAAGTGCTCAGATGAGGCACAGCTGTGAAGCAATGCAGGCTGCTGCTTCTGGGCCTTAGGACTTTTGGAAGCTTTGGAGCTCTCTGACCCAACTGCAGTTTGTTAGGTTTTAGGTTGCAAAAAGACAGGCCATTCATATGCAAAAGCTGCTGCACACAGCTTGGGTGGGGTTGTAAACTGGATGGGGTGGGGTCTTAGGGAATCACAGGGCAGAGCAAACAGCAATGGCTGCCAGTCAGTCCTGCCCTGGAGAGGTCCCAGGGTCTCTGTCCCGCAGCCCTGTGCAGGAGCAATGATTGCTGTGAGCACCTCTGAGAGACAAAGTCTCCCTCATGTTCTGGCCTGATGCCAGACAGTCCAGTTTCTCCTCATATGAGTCTGGGTCCCCAGAGTCTCGCCCAGAATTGGAGTTCAGGGCAATTGGGAGCTTGTATCTTCCTCCAGATAGAAAAAAAACAACAGCACACCCAGTTGCCAGCCCGTATCAAGCGTGCCTCCACACCACTGCACCTTTGTGCCTACTACCAGTCTCAATGTGCTTTTCTCTTTCCTTCTAGTTGTAGAACTACCACTCATCCAGCTTTCCCATGGTTCTGGATGGTATTTGTTTTGTCTTTCAGTTGTAGTTTTAATGTGGTTGTGAGAGGCAGCAAGTACAGGTGTTTACCTGTGCCGCCATCTTGGTTGTTTTCCCACAAAGCCTTTTTGACTGGGGAGGGAATGCCTACCCCACCAGGCAGGGGAGGCAGGTTCTCAAGTCCCGGAGGCTCAGGAGAAGCCACAGTAGGTTCAAATTCCAGAAGGAGGTGGAGACAGAGGAAGCACTTAATATATGCTAGCATTTATTGTTAGTATTTAAAAAATATATATATTTTATTGATTTTTTTTTTACAGAGAGGGAGAGAGAGATAGAGAGTTAGAAACATCGATGAGAGAGAATCATCAATCAGCCGCCTCCTGCACACCCCCCACTGGGGATGTGCACATGCCCTTGACTGGAATTGAACCCGGGACCCTTCAGTCCGCAGGCAGACGCTCTATCCACTGAGCCAAACCGATTTTGGCTATTGTTAGTATTACTAGTGTTATTTACTTTACCCAGAGCTGAGTGAATGTTGAGAGGAGAAACCTGGGTGGATGGACAGACTCAGCTTTCTAGGCATATCTATAGATCTCAGTTAAAGGGACAAATGGAGAAAGCTGCTTCCACACTGTTAGAGTGAAATGTCACTCTTCACCACCCAAAGAGTATGGTTTAAATAGGAAACACATCACTGCACCGCCCTCCCAAGAATCTTTGTTTTTTTAGACAGCAGTTTAATTCTGGCTGTCAGAGTATGCTATCATTTGAGGATCTTTAGAAGAAACAGAAATGAATTAAGAAAAAACCCCAACCCCAGCCAGTGTGGGTCAGTGGTTGAATGTCAACCTAGGAACCAGGAGGTCACAGTTCGATTCCAAGTCAGGGCACATGCCCAAGGTTGCAGGCTCCATCCCCAGTGTGGAGCATGCAGGAGGCAGCTGACCAATGATTTTCTCTCATCGTTGATGTTTCTCCCTCTCTCTCCCTCTTCCTTTCTCTTTGAAGTCAATAAAATATATTTTTAAAAACAAAATAAAAGCAGAGAGGTCCATGTCATTCCAACTTTGAACACTTACGCCTTTTGGACAGTGTCTGCCTTAGGCCTCTGGATGTTTTCAGCACTGAGAGGGTCCAGGGTCACTTTCCTTGGCTCTGGGTCTATGAAAACAGAGAGCACCCTTCATCAGCAAAGGACAACGGTCAGTGATCCCAAACATGGAAAAATGTCTACCTGGTAAGTAGTCGACAGCATGCAAATTAGAACAGTGAGAGAAGTTATACCTAGGACATTAGCAAATACCGCAGATGACATTAACATTAGTAAAACCCTTTGGGAAAGTATGTATTAAGAACCAGAGAAATGGCCAAAACTGGTCTGGCTCTGGATAGAGCGTCAGCCTGCGGACTGAAGGGTCCCGGGTTCGATTTTGATCAAGGGCATGTACCTTGGTTGCAAATACTCCCCAGTAGGGGGCGTGCAAGAGGCAGCTGATAGATGACTCTCTCATCAATGTTTCTAACTCTCTGTCTCTCTCCCTCTTTGTAAAAAATCAATAAAATATATATTAAAAAAAAAAAAAGAACCAGAGAAACGGCTGGTCTTTGATTAGGAACTTCACTCCTGGGTATTTATCATAAGGAAATAATTCAAAGGAAGAAATAGTCTTTTGTGCCAACTTATTTATTACAAATTTATTATTAATAGTAAAAAATTAAAAACAGCTCAACAATGGGAAATTAGGGAAGTAACTTATGATGTATTAATTTGACATTTAAAATTATGGTTGCAAAATAAATGAGCAGTATGGAAGTTATGATACAATGACAAAAAATATAAACTATAGTATGTTAGAATTCTGTAAAATATGTATGTAGATGAATAAAGTGTGGAGGAGAAAGTAGAAAAAATAGATGGAAAGGTTTATGTGTACTTATATTTTTCTTAAAATCCTATGAGGTGATAATATTGATAAGAAAATTGATTAAAAACCCCCACAAATGGTGTTGCAGGGGGAAGGCTCATGCAGGTCACACAACTGGTACTCTTTGCTGGGGATGCCAGACCATACTGTGTAGATCTTTTATTTATTTATTATTAATTTAAAAATATATATTTTATTGATGTTTTACAGAGAGGGAGAGAGAGTTAGAAACATTGATGAGAGAGAAACATCAATCAGCTGCCTCCTGCACACCCCCTACTGGGGATGTGCCTGTAACCAAGGTACATGTCCTTGACTGGAATCGAACCTGGGACCCTTGAGTCCTTAGGCCGATGCTCTATCCACTGCTTAGAGCTGTGTAACTTTTAAAATGAGAAGAATGTCTAGACTAAGACTTCATATTGGACTATTGGCTAGATTTTATTTTAGTTACTGTAAACAATTTTTAAATGACAAAAGATATATTGTATTGCAAAAAATTAGGAAAACACGAAAAAGCATAAAGAAGACCCCCCTCCCCCCAACACGCATCATTATTAGAATGACTAAAATGAAAAAGACTGACTACACAGAGTTGACAAGGACATGGAGGAACTGGAATTCTCATACACTGCTGGTTAGAATGTAAAATGGTACAATCACTTCAGAAAATAGTTTGACAGTTTCTTAAGAAATTAAATATTATATATATATATATCATGTCATCTACCCATGATACTTCCAGGTATTTTATCCAACAGAAATGAAAGCCTATGTTCATACAAACACTTGTACACAAATGTACACAGTAATAGTTCATTTGTAATAATTGAAAACTTGAAACAGCCCCTATGTCCATCAACAGAGGAATGATGAACAAACTGGTGTGTACATACAATGCAATACTCTTTCTTTAGCATGGCCGGCTCAGAAAAAGCTGTGTCATTGGGCATCCACTGCCCCCCACAGCTATTTGGAGCAGGGCATGACAGGACCAGCAGAGGGCGCATTTGTATTGACCAAGAGCTAACCATTTTGATTAGAATTTGAAACCCTGTCCGTTTTGGGATGGGAACCACAACAAGGGTGATTTTTTTTCTCTCTCTAGTAAAATAACCTGATATTTAGGAAGTTCTGAAATAAACCAAGGCAGTATTTGGAATTATTTTTACAACTTTTCACTGTTTAAAAAAAAAAATCTGTAAAATATTTTAAGAATGCAGAGTATAGAAAAAATATACCGCATCATGATTACCCATGAACTCAGCGCCTGACCTTGTGAAATCTTAACATTTTGCCATATTTGATTCACATTTCCTCCAAATAAATAAATAAATAAGTAGTCCAAGACTTCATGCTATCACATACGAGGTCACTTCCCTCACTCTCTCCCCCAGAGATAACCATTCTCTTAAACATGGTACTTACCAGTTGACAGGGTTCAAAACATGCTATTCCAAAATATGTCCCCTTGGCGTATTGAATATTTTAAGCTGAAGGACCCCGAGAAACAGCGGGTACAGAAGGGACTCTCATGTCCCTATTTCCCCTGAAGCAGGTCAGGTGAGGGGCCTCCCTTTGGGAAAGGAGCATCCTGATTCCTGGAGACAGCCCTCTCTCCCCCCACGGTTTTATGCTTCCCCAACCTCCTATCCCCCGCCACCGCCACCCCAATTCTCTATACTCTTCTGTCTGTCTCTAAGCAATATCATTTAGCTTTAAAGTAAATTTTAATGTTTTTGCTGAGCAAACTCTTCCAGTTTGCTTTTCTTCCACATCATATTGGCATTTTTGACCCCTCCTTATGACTTTTGGGATCAACTTACCATGTTCCACCAAAAACCCTGTTGGGGCATTTTAAAAATTGGAATTGCGTCCCACCAATTTGAGTGGCTCAGCGGTTGAGCATTGACCTATCAACCAGGAGGCTACGGTTCGGTTCCCGGTCAGGGCACATGCTCAGATTGCAGGCTCAGTCCCCAGTGTAGGGTGTGCAGGAGGCAGCTGACAATGATTCTCTCTCATCATGGTTCTCCCTCTCCCTTCCTCTCCAAAATCAATAAAAATATTAAAAAATGGGAATTACATTGAATTTATGGATTAATTTAGGGAGAATTATCATCTTTATGATAGTGATCTTCCTATCTATTATATACAGCATTATATAGAAAATTGTATGTATCACCAAAACCGGTTTGGCTCAATGGATAGAGCATCGGTCTGCGAACTGGAAGGTCCCAGGTTCAATTCCAGTCAAGGGCATGTACCTTGGTTGCGGGCACATCCCTAGTAAGGGGTGTGCAAGAGGCAGCTGATCGATGATTCTCTCTCATTGATGTTTCTAGCTTTCTATCCCTCTCTCTTCCTCTCTGTGAAAAAATCAATAAAATATATTTAAAAAAAAGAAAATTGTATGTTTTTAGGTCTATTTTTATTTAATTTAGTACAATTTTATAATTCATGAAACTGACATGCCCTTTTTTAGATTTAGTGCTAGGATATATATATATATATATATATATATATATATATATATATAATTATATTTTAAAATTACATTTTCTCTGCCTTCCTACATAAACTATACCACTGGATAACTAAACAGTAGAAGAGAGAAGTTTCTTTTTGTAAGAGTTTCCCAAATAATAAGTGAAGAAAGAATGACAGAATTTCACAATCACTATTTTGCAACCTCTCATGGATGAAGAGACAAACAAATATATATATATATTCAAGTATATATATATATTGTATATATATATTTAAAAAATATATTTTATTGATTTTTTTACAGAGAGAAAAGGAGAGGGATAGAAAGCTAGAAACATCAATGAGAGAGAAACATCGACCAGCCGCCTCCTGCACATCCCCCACCAGGGATGTGCCCACAACCAACATGCATGCTCTTGACCGGAATCAAACCTGGGACCTTTCAGTCTGCAGACTGACGCTCTATCCACTGAGCCAAACCGGTTTCAGCTAATTGTTTGTCTTTTAATAGCTTCTCTCTGTAGAGCCTCTCGGATTTTCCATGTAAGTGATACTATTGGGAATGATGACAGTGATACTTCCTTCTTTTCATCCCTTTCCCTATTGTGCTGGTTCAGTGTTGAAATAGAAACAATGAGCAAGGGCTTCCTTATCCTACTCCCGTTTCTAAAGAGAATACATCTCAAGTTCTACCATTGAAGTGTGATGTTTACTGCGAGTTTTGGTAAGTAATTAAAAATATATATTTTTTAATTGATTTCAGAGAGGAAGGGAGAGAGATAAAAACATCAATGATGAGAATCATTGATCTGCCGCCTCCTGCACGCCCCCTACTGGGAATCAAGCCTGCAACCTGAAAATGTGCCCCGACCAGGAATCAACCTTGACCTCTTGGTTCATGCATTGTCGCTCAACCACTGAGCTATACCAGCGAGGTGGTAGATACTCTGTCAAAATCAGGATCTTCTAGTCTTAGTAAGATAATAGGTCCGTTTATAAATTTATTTTTCCTTTTGCATCTATTGAGGTGATCCTAAAGTTTTTCTCCTTTCACCTTTTTTTTTTTTTTTGAATATATTTTTCTTGATTTCAGATAGGAAGGAAGAGAGAGAGAGAAACATCAGTGATGAGAGAGAATCATTGACTGGAAGCCTCCTGCATGCCCCCTACTGGAGACTGAGCCTGCAATCTGGGCATGTGCCCTTGACCAGAACTGAACCTGGGGCCCTTCAGTCCGCAGGCAGACACTCTGTCTGCTGAGCCAAATCAGCTAAGGCCAGAAACATTCTTAAGGAGGCATCACTTCCTGCTCTGGAGGAGAACTTTCTAGAAGGAAAAATGAAGCAGGAAGGAGCGGGTAGGTCATCTGGGTTGCTGAGAGGTAGCAGGCTCTTCGAACCCAGTACCAGGGCTCAGATAGCAGAGCCTGGCGGTGTCCAGTGACTGCGCAGGCCTCGCCAGAGCAATCCAGGGATTGGGGAGCCCCGACCAGCATCATGAGGCGACACTGGGTGGTCTCACCTTCCAGGCTGCAGATTCGAGGGGCAGGGGCATGGCCTCTGAGCACACACTTCTGGTCTCCACAGCTTGGAGAGAAACCTTTGCAACACTGGCTACCTTCACTGCTTTGCACCGGTGGGGAGGTCAGTACACTGTGTCTTCTGGAGCGGTGTACTCCTGGGGGCAGAAACTGCCCCTGAGCTAAGGCCGTGAAAACGAAACCACATTGAACTCAACACCCACAAGCTCTGAGTAGAGACTTGGATTGCCTTGGTTTTAATAATTAGCTGCAATTTGCATAATTGTCTTGACCTCTAGACCTCAACTTCATTTATCTGCAATATAAAATGATTTCTAGAGATTTTAAACAATCTCCCAGATTCTTGCTGGCTTAAACAACTGCTGCCATAACTTTGTGACGTTTCTGACTTTGTACCTGTTTCCTAATCAGAAACACACGGATGTAGTTACAGCTCTTTTAAAAAGCCCACGGCTGGAAGTCATAGGAGCCTGGGTTCAGACCTCACCCCCTCCGTTTAGGGACTGTTGCCTTGGGCAGGTTGCCTAACCTCTCTGAGCCTCATTTTCCTTATCTGTGAAACAGGGATAATGTTCTTTATCGCATAAGGTTACCGAGAGGCTAAAATCAGATAAACTAGTACCTATCAGATAAACTAGTGCTAACCTTTCGCAGGATGCTGAGGCTGGTAAGGCTGCTTTCCCAGATTGGGCCTGCTATCCACACCTGGATTTAAGCAAAAAAGGACGTACACAGCCAAAACTGCTTTGGCTCAGTGGATAGAGCTTCAGCCTGTGGACTGAAGGGTCCCGGGTTCGATTCTGGTCAGGGGCATGACCTAGGTTGCAGGCACAACCCCAGTTGGGGGGCGTGCAGGAGGCAGCTGGTTGATGTTTCTCTCTCATCGATGTTTCTGGCTTTCTATCCCTCTCCCTTCCTCTCTGTGAAAAATAAATAAATAAATAAATAATATATATATATATATATATATATATATATATATATATATATATATAAATTTATATTTTTATTTTTTTTTTATTTTTTAAAGGACTTAACACAGAGGACTCAATCAGTCCCCCAGAGCAATCCCCATCCCACTGAGACTGATTTGGAAAGCAAAGAAATCATCATGGTCCTGGCCGGTTTGGCTCAGTGGAGAGAGCATTGGCCTTCGGACTGAAGAGTCCCAGGTTTGATTCTGGTCAAGGGCACATGCCTGGGTTTTGGGCTCAGTCCCCACTATGGGGTGTACATGAGGCAATTGATCAGTGAGTCTCTCTCATCATTGATGTTTCTATCTCTCTCTCCCCTCTCCCTTCCTCTCTAAAATCAATACAAATTATATATATATATTTTAAAAAAATAATCATGTTACTAACTTAGAGCAAGTCCCTCCTGACAAAGTGCAATCCATGGCTACTAAAATTGAAGTTTTAAAGAAATAGATGGATAGCTAATCTTCCGTGAGTCCTTACTCTGATTCAGGCATTCTTATAAGCACGTGACGCGTTCACTCCTTTATGTCACAACCACCCCATGAGATAAGTACTGTCAGTGTCCCCATTTTACAGAGGGTGGGGGGAAAGCCCAGATAAGTTCAGTAACTTACTCAAGCCCACAGAGTTGGTAAGTGGTGGAGCTGGGGTTTGAACCCAGGGAACCAGGCTCCATAATCCGTGCTAGTGATCACCGCTAATACTGCCTAAACAGTACCCTCTAACCCTTCCACACCCACGACTTTTAAAAGATTGGAAGTTCTTTTGAAGCATTAGTATTTATCACTCCTGAGAGGCAAACGCCTTCCTTTGTGTCCTGCTGTGACACTTCGCTGCGTTGGCTTTATGTGGTCAGCCAGCCTGCCCCGCGGTCAAGAGGCAGGCAATGAGTGTGACTGACTTGGTTGTTGCTCAGATTTGGCCATGTTCTGAGCTGTTTGACCCCGGCTGCCCTTGGCGGGGACCTGAGAGCCTGTCAGCGTTCACATTCCGCACGTGGACGGAAGGCCTGAGGCCTGGAGCGAGTTTCCCCGTCTGCCGTCGCTCAGCTGTGAAAATGGAGGCGGCAGGATGCTTGTGTTAGCAGAAACCTCGCTTCAAAGCTCGACCAAACCCAGGGATGGGGCTACCATAATATCGTATCGTCTCACATCCAGAGCAGTGGAACCTTGTGAAACGAGCATGAAAATTATTTTTGTCTAGAATGGCAAGTGCCCTGACCAGTTTGGCTCAGTGAATGGAGCACCAGCCTGTGGACGGAGGGGCCCCAGGTTCGATTCCGGTTAGGGGCATGCGCCTTGGTTGGGGGAAAATCCCCGGTGGGATGTGTGTAGGAGGCAGCTGATTGATGTGTGTCTCTCATCGATGTTTCTGGCTCTCTCTCCCTCTCCCGTCCTCTGTAAAAAAATCAATAAAATATGTTTAAAAAAATAGAATGGCAAGTGAAAGTAATAGCAAAAGATGTAAACAGAAGGGAGACCAGGTTTAGGGTGAAGCCCCAGACCCATGTCGGCACATTCATCTCCAGGGAGCTCCTCTGGTCTCTCCCCCCCACGGGGTCCACATGCCCCAGGGAGAGCCGTGGTGTCGTGTCAGATTGGCAGCCACTGTGGTCTCCCACTCCAGAGGAAGACCCACTAACTTCGCTGACTCCTCAGGCAGCCTTGTGGTTCCAGCCTCAGCAGCGGGCATGAGGCAGAGGCGGAGGTGGAGGTGGAGGCAGCCCTACTCCAGAGCCCATGCTCTGCACTCAGCTGCCGGGAGCGCTGCTGCAGCCTAAGCAGAGCAGCTGATGTGAATTAGGAAAGAAACCCCAGGATGAGGGCATGTGGGCAAAGGAGCCCTTCTTAGCGGGCACACTCAGGCCTGCGTGCATAGCTCAGTGGGCAGCGCAGGATTTCAGCTCACGCTTGCTCCCTCTGCTAGACGCCTTTATGCTGCAAACTACAAGCAGAACCCAGGGGGCCCGCCCAGCTTTTACTCCTTGAGTCTCTCACGCGTGCTTTCGCTCCTGTAAGAAGCAGGAGAGAGAGCAGCTCTGCTCCCTGAGCCTAGGCCACGCGGCGCCCCCAGCAGCACGCACGGGTCCCCACAGGGAAGAGCTTAGTGTCTCGCTCAGGGCCTGGGGGTGTGAACTATGCCAAAAGCCCAGTTCCGGGCCCAATATTTCCTAGAATCATCATCACGATGAAATGGAGCTTCGTTTTGGGAGGAGCCCACCTCAAGCAGCTCTGGGTCTCTCAAGGTGCCGTTCCCCATCTGATGATGGGATGTCATCCCTCCAGGCCGGGAACTGCACCTCCCTCACCTGCATGTCCAGCCCCCGTGAAAGCAGGAAGCACAGAGGAGGAGGTGCCTGCGGGGCCTTTTTGTAATGTCCCCCCCCCCCCTGCCCCCAAGTCTCCACTCCCTTCCATGCATCTGCAGCCACTGGCAGGAAAGAAATGGTTCGGTAAGTAAAAGCATGCTATTGCCCATTGGTTGGCTTGTGATGCATTAAGAACCCTTCAGAGTCAGACTGAACACTTTGGTCTGCATTCTGACTCCAGCCCATGACCTGGGAGGAGATGGAAGGGCCATTCCCCATCAGGTCTGTGAGCAGGGCCCACCTCCTCCGGCAGTCACTGTGGTAAGATCCTCGAGCCCAGCCCCGCCCTGTCTCTACCTTGGGTGTCCGGATGGTCTCCTCTGAGGGGTCCTCCTGCTTCTTCACGACAGTCCCGTTCGCCTTCACTTTCCTATTCGGTTAACACACAACAAGAGCACAGAAGACCAAGTAAGCGCCAATACTCCAGCAGTCCACGCCTTTTGGTAAAAAGGAAGCCAGTGTTCTTAGCTGTTTCTTCTCTTTGTGTGTCATCTTATTTTAACTGCAGTGTCCAGGAAGTCTGCCAGCAGTGTGAACGGCCCTGAAAAGCCACGGCGGTGAGCAAGTTAGGTTCGTTTTCCTCTTCTGGGAGGCTCATCCCCTTCACCTGGGCAGGGCTCGATGCCTGGCATTCACAGGTGTAAACGGGGTGGGGTGGGGGGGCGTGTGAGGTGGGGTGGGGTGAGGGGTGGCAGGAAGAAGAATGTCATAGGCTAAGGCAGTGGTCGGCAAACTCATTCGTCCACAGAGCCAAATATCAACAGTACAACGAGTGGAATTTCTTTTGAGAGACACATTTTTTAAACTTAAACTTCTTCTAACGCCACTTCTTCAAAATAGGCTCGCCCAGGCCGTGGTATTTTGTGGAAGAGCCACACTCAAGGGGCCAAAGAGCAGCATGTGGCTCGCGAGGCGCAGTTTGCCGACCACGGTCATAGGCTAAGGCCAGCTGGTGGAAGGCAGCGGAGAGCCTCCTAGGACGTGAGGGAGGACCCGTGTGATGAGCGCAGAGACTGAGAGCCTGGGAAGGGTGGGGAGGAGTCACCTCCCAGGCCCTGAGGGTAGGGTAAGGACTTTGCTTTTTATCTTGGGAACAAATGGAAGGCACTGAGGGCTTAAAGTCAGGGAGGGAGCAAAAGGGTGAGGTTGGCCTTTTGTGGAGTGCCCAGGATTAGCATGGGTTGGGTTCCTTATCACATCTAATTCCCTCTTCCTTCTGTCTCGGAGCCGCACAAACTGCTTGCGGTCCCACCGTCCAGACCTGCATGACTGGGGCTCCCAGTCCTGGTTGCATATTAGAACTCCTCACGGAGCTTTAAAAAAGACGATTCCCAGGACCTAACCTCAGACATTAAAATCAGGCCTCCTGCGGCTCAGGCTTTTTGAAGGCTTCTTGGCTGATTCTAATATGCAGCCAGGGTTGAGAATCGGGGATCTTCTCTGAAGTGTTGGAAGGGCGGCTCTTTAGTGGCCGAAGAGATGTGGCCAGTAGAGCCAGTGACCCCAGGGCAGCTCCGAGTGTCTGAGGAACCAGCCCTTGGCCTCCGTCCCCTGGTTCTCTGATTAGCCCACAGCTCCACTTCAGCGGCAGGGAAGGAAGGAATCTGGTGTGGAGGGCCCTGGAAGTCTCTCCTGGAAGCCCCTTTAGGGACAATCGGTTTTTCAGTTTGTTACCAAAGCCCACGCTGTGTTGGGAAGAGACAATTCAGTTTTTGCTAATTTGTTTGACATTCTCCCCTCACCTGAGGGCTTTTTATCCATCATGTTTCTCACTTGGTAACTTAGTGTTTGTAGCTATGAGATAGTCAAACATAGAAAAGCTGGATCAGCTGTGAAGCCGGTTTGGCTCAGTGGTAGAGCGTCGGTCTGCGGACTGAAAGGTCCCAGGTTCAATTCCGGTCAAGGGCATGTACATTGGTTGCGGGCACATCCCCAGTAGGGGGTGTGCAAGAGGCAGCTGGTCGATGTTTCTCTCTCATCCATGTTTCTAGCTCTCTATCTCTCTCCCTTCCTCTCTGTAAAAAATCAATAAAATATATAAACAAAAGAAAAGCTGGATCAGTTAAGTAATTTTCTTTCTTTTGCACTTCTATTCAAGGAGACAAAGCAGATTTGGCCTAATGCAGTAAAAAATTCACGCCTGGATACATGGAAAAGTTTAAAAAAAAATATTGCAGGAACAACCTGCCTCAGTCATACTACAATGCTGAGGTAGAAGACTAGAAAGAAGCTAAATTAAAAAAAAAAAATCTTGTTTATACTAGTAAATCCTTTTAATCTAACAGGAAATTGGGTTAAAAAGGAGAAATAAGCATCCCCCTTTGGAAGAATTTTGAAGCCAAGGGGATAAACCTTGAATCTTAACAATAGGCTACAAGCCTTCTGTGGCAAGAAAGAGTCTCCTCATTTCACAGATGGGAAGGTGGAGGAGAGAGTCAGGGATTTGGAAATGATACTTTGGTGAGTCCCTGTTATAGTCAAGAAGAAATAGCCTTGCCCAGCTGGTGTGCCTCAGTAGGTGGAGTGTTGTCTCATGCACTAAAAGGTCGCCAGTTTGCTTCTTGGCCAGGAAATTCAAATCCCACCTCTGCTCCTTCTGGCCAAGTCATTTGCTGCTCTTCATCTGCTCACCCAGCTCAGGAACATCCACTCAGGATGTGTTGTGTGCCAGGCACTGTGCTAGGCACCGGGGTACCAAACTGAAAGACCGATCTGTAGGAAGCTCACTGCCTTAGGGATCTCAGCCACTGCACTGCAGGGTACAACGTTGTGACAGATCATGGCAGATTTCTGCAGCACCTCAGAGGCGAGGCTAAATTGGGCCGGGGAAGGCTTGTCACCAGTGGAGCAGGCGCTCAGTCCTGCCGAGAAGGGCAGGCAGGGCAGTTCCTGCGGAGGAGCTGCGGCTGCTGTGGGGGTGGTTTGATGTGTCTGCAGGGCATGGACAGTGGGGCTCAGACACGAGCCAGATATTAGGTGGCGCAGTTTAGAGTTTTAAAAAGAAACCCTGCATTTGTTATATTTTTCTATTTATAAAAGAAATACACCTTTGATGCTAGGATTTAATGGGAAGGCAAACGGGGACGTGGTGAGGAATCTCAAGCAAAGCAGGGCTATGACTAAGCTGAATTTAAAAGGCGCACTGGCAGCAGCGTGGTATCGCAGGGCTGGGGAGGGGGCAGGCTGGGTAGGATGGAAACACAAACTGCCGCACTGAACCCAGAAAGACAGCTGGGGTGCGGATCTGGGAGTCGGCGGTCTGGGCTGACGGCCTGACTCCCACCTGCACTTCTTGCCTCACAGAACACGCACGTTATTTAACCTCTGAGCCTTAGTTTCTTCACACGACAGGGGTGGGCCAGGTGACCGTGAGTCTGTCCTTGGAGAAACACCTGCTGCCTACCCTAAGGCATACCACCTCATCTAAGCATGGTACTTCGAGGCCCATAGCAGGCTTTCGTAAGGAACTGTGGGAAGGATGGAGAAGCATGGGGTGCAGGAGTCAGACATGGGGTTCTGGCAGACTGGGAGCCAGCTCTGTGGCCTGTTGTTGAACTCAGCCTTTCCATCTGTGAAATGGGAGTGGTGATAAGTATTGTACAGATTTCTTAAAAGGCTTAAGCAAGAAAATACATCAGGAAATTCTGTGTAACACCATGTAGCAATGCATCTAAAAGACTAATTTCAATACCTTCTTAATGATGGGAGAAAATCAGTATCTCATTTGAAAATTTCAATTTCAAGATAGTACAACGTTTTATGGGTATTAAAAAGAACCCATGCTTTTTCTTTAAAAAAGGAAACTGGTTTATGAACAATTAGAAGGCATCTTGTGAATAAGATGAAAATATATTTCAGCTAGTGTGGCTCAGTGATTGAGCATCAACCTATGAACCAGGAGGTCATGGTTCGATTCCCAGTCAGGGTGTGCTGGAGGCAGCTGATCAATGGTCTCTCTCATCATTGACGTTTCTGTCTCTCTCCTTCTCCCTTCCTCTCTGAAATCAAAACAAATATATTTTTAGAAGGTTAAAATATGTTAAATCCCACCTCCTCTCCCAGGTTCTGACACCAGAACAAAGGAATACAATTAAATTCCTATACAATTCACATGTTAAAGCCCATTGCATTTGGAGACAGCGTTGTTAAAGTGGTAAAATGAGATCATCAGAGTGGGCCCCAACTCACCATGAGGTAAGGACACTGACAACCCCAAAGGGAAGGTACATCGAGAAGAAGGCTGTCTACAAGCCAATGAGAGGCCTCAGAATAAATCAGACCTGCTAACACCTTGATCTTGGACTTCCAGCCTCCAGAATTGTGAGAAAATAAATTTCTGTTGTTTAAGCTACTCAGTCTATGGCACCTTGTTATATAGACTACTATATAACTAATATAATAAATACTAAATCAAGGCAATTATTTCGAATGCTTGTAGCAGATATCTTTTGTTGCCAGAATCATCCTCTCTTATTCATATTTTAAAGATCCAGTTTTCCTTTGTGAGACACTTCTCTCCTCCCCACCGCTCGTCCCTGTGGTTCTAGGCTGGGCCAATCAATGTATTCCATTCACCTGGCATGTTGATTCATTTGGGCATGGACATGTGGCCCAAGTCGGGTTAATGAGACTCATTTCTAGAATGATCTAGAAAAGAGAAGCAGGTGGCCACCTTGCCACTGCAGGGAAGAGCCTATCTAAAGAAACGGGGAAGCAGAGCCTAGCCATACAGAGAAGATATTTGGGGCAAATACAGGATTCTGAATCAAAGCCCCACCTTGCAGAGTTGAGATGGGAGTTGACCAGAGAAGATGCAACATGAGAACCCTGGATCAGCTGAGGCAAGACTCTGCAAAGTCTCTGACCGTCTATAGCACTGGCTAAAAGCCACAACATGTGTATTTGGTTTCTGTCTTTCCTAGTCACTTCTTATCAAAGGGCGGGGATTTTGTCCTCTCTAGAGGGTAGCATGAAGGACCTAAGACCCTTCCATCCCAAGCCTTGCTTGATTCCTGATGACTTTCTTTTATTCCATGGTCATTTATTTCCAGTTCATCGAGCTGTGAGGTGGGCAAGAATGGGTAGAAAGAAGACCCTAGGCCAGAGGGCTGTGGGATGAAAAGGGGGATCAATGTATGGGGCATGTATTGGCCACCTCCCATGTGCCAGGCATGGTGTTAAATTGGGCAGAAAGGAGTATTGCAAAGGGGGGCAAATGACATCTCTATATCAGGCACTCAGTACCCTCCCTAAACTATTGTAGGTGTGAAGCTGAGCTTGAGAGAATAGGAAACAAGATGAGACATCCGGAATAGGATTTGCAGTTGACTTCTAAATAGCTAACCCAAGAACTAGTCTTCTCTACAGTAGGAATATCGGGTCTACCAAGTTGCAGTGGTAAAACGGTAACAGTGACTTGAACTGCTATTAAGATAAAGTGAATTATATTTGCCTGTTTTATTATGAGGCGGTTCAAGTTCAAGGTTATCCTTCCTCCTCTCTGTTCTCTGTCCCCCACCATCCCAACCAGACTCCCAACTGATTTGTCCCTGGCGGCTGGCTGCGATTACTGTCCTAATTTGTTCTTTCTTCATCTGCCTCAAACTGCCTATTTTCTGTCCCTTCTGATAAAGCAGGAACTCTGAGGGACTTCTGAAGCTGTTTTGTTCCATGCAGAAGTGTATTAACCGGAACGCCTGTGTGTGTGTCTACAAAACCCCTCGTCCTCTCAGTGTGAGATCACCTTCAGGAACGGTGTCATGTCGATGTGCAGCTTGCGCGTGTAAAATTCCTTTCTGTTTGAACGGATCAGCCCTTTATTTATACAACTTTGAGGCTCTCCTGCCTTCTGAGCTGCTGCCTCCGAGGTCTGCGGGGCGGCCTGTGAAGAGAAGCAGAAAGCCCACCTTTCAGAGGAATGATACCCAGGGCGACCAGAGTGAGTCTAAATCCCCAAATATTTATAGAAAGTGATTTTTCATCGTTGGAGCACTAATAGTAACACCTATTTTTACCAGGGAAGACACAGGGGACCACATGTACACAGAATAACCCGAGGCTGGTTATTAATTCATACCCAGCGCTGGTGCAACGGGAAAGTGGAGGAAGGCACCTGACTGTGTTCCAGGGTTGTCATCACTTTACTTAATCCTCACGACAGCCCTGTGAGGCAGATACTCTGATTCCCATTTCACAGATGAGGAACCAGAGGCTCCAGGAGGTTAAGTAACGTGGCCAAAGCCACACAGCTGAAATCCCCATCTTCCCAAGACTCCTTTGATACTTAAAAAATATATATATATATGTATTTTTATTTATCTCAGAGAGGTAGGGAGAGGGAGAGAGAGAGAGAAAGAAACATCAATGATGAGAGAGAATCATTGATTGGTTGCCTCCTGCACGCCCCACGCTGGAGATCGAGCCCGCTATCGAGGCATGTATCCTTGACCGGAATCGAACCTGGGACCCTTCAGTCCGCAGGCTGATGCTCTACCCAACGAGCCAAACCTGCTAGGGCTGGTGTTGATACTTCTATATTAAATCTGTCTTGCAGCAAATAGAGTTATAGCAAGGTTCTGGTTTATTTCCAAATGTAAAACATGTTTGCCATGTTAGGAAGAGTCATTTGAACAAATCGAGCAGAGAGGGAAGGAAGAACGGGCTAGAGGAGTCTGGGAGGTCCCAGGGGCTCGGCAGTCTTGGGGCCATGCCTTCTCCTGTGACCACACGTGCAAATGGTACCCTGCTTCCATGCATACCCAGTTGGATCTGAAGTTGCTTTCCAGCCCAAGCCTTTCCAGCATCCTGGGTGATGGTTCTGAGGTGCGAACCAGTGTCCCTCCTCTGCTCAAGACCTTCAAAGGCCTTTGCCCTCGGGATGAAGGCCAACCGGCTACAAAGGTTCGCAAGACCCTTCCTGCCTCATTTAGTCATTCAACTGCTATTTACTGAGCGACTTTCCTCTGCCCGGCAGAGCAGATACCGCAGCGCAAGAAGCAGAGAGAAGGCGCCACCCTCTGACGCTGCACATGCATTCCACGGAGAGGGAGGAGATTATGAGCAGGTAGGCCATACGTTATGTCTGAAGGTGCCTCGTGATATAAAGAAAAAAGAAAGCGAAGAGAGGAGCGAGGAGTGTTGGGAATGGAGTGGAGGCTGCAGTGTTAAGCAGGGTTGTCAGGGAAGGTCCCACAAGAAAGCCATGCTGGAGCTCCGCAGAGGGCGAAGGAAGGGTCTGTGGGCCTCTCTGACGGGAGTGCTCACAAAGGCTCCTCTCAATGCTGACCGTTCAGTTCCTGGACAAGGCCAGCAAGCACACCCTGCCTTCTCCTGGGAACATACTCCTCTCTCCATTCCAGTTCCTTCTCATCCTTCTGGTCTAGCTCATCTGTGCTGCCCATGACATCCCAGGGCACTGAGCACTTCCGCCAGTGTCTGACCCGGGCTGGGAACTGAGGCTGCAACTGAGGCACGTGCTCTTGACCGGAATCAAACCCGAGACCCTTCATTTCGCAGGCGGACGCTCTAACCGCTGAGCAACCAGCCAGGGGCACTTGATACATATTTGCTGAACGCAAGAATAACTATCGCATTGGGGACAAGCTACATGCTATGGCCCAGCTCAGTTCAAATGCAAAGGGCCAGTGAAGACACCTTTACGGGAAGGGTGTGTCCACGTCCAGAGGCCTGTCCTCCGGCGGCTCTGGCCCCTCATCCCCAGGAGGAAAGTGCTTTTCCAGGGCTGATTTTCTGGGGCTGCATACATCAGTGTCATGAGATCACCCTGGGCGTGGATTTGATCATTTCCATATTTTCTAGGAGACTCTCTCTCTCAGAAGTCTGTTTCTCTGGGCTGTCAGTAACATTCCCTCCCATAGCATGTATATTACTTTTAAGTCTTAATGATGAATTAACAGCCATCATTCCAATGAACATCCACACCCTTTTCCTTTGTTTTGAAATATGGCTAGAGTTAAAGAGTTTTCCGGACAAACACATATCCACTTTTTTTGTTGTTGTTGACATCTCAGCCATATATCTGATTAGCTTCTCTGGGTGAGATAGCCATTCCCTTGTTTCTAGATCAAATGATCGCATTTTGTCCAAGTTAGAATCAGCAAAGCATTTCAAGCTCTCTAGCTTACAAAATCACTCATGAATCACTGGGTGGAATAACAGAAACCTGACAATATTGATTTAAGGGGAATTACTCCACTATCTCCAAGAGACAACTCTGTGTTGGGCTGGAGGACAAACAGCATAGCCAAGACCAGTCCCAACGGCTGGAATTACCGTAACTCCTCATGTGGGGTTCAGAATGAAGAGTGGGGAGTTGGGAGGCTTTGAGAAAGTCCCTTCCAAGCACTTGGCCTATAAATCTTTTGATAAAACAATTCTCTTGACTCCATGGCTCATCTCTCTAACATCTAGGGCCATCAATTCCAGCTTAATGGAATGTTTTCAGAGAAGGCTCTGTCGTCACTGGAATGTGAAGTACTGTTTGCTTATTATGTTCAGGAGTTCTAACCAGTAAATGATAGTGAAAGGGGGTTTGGGAGATGAACTGTATAGAGAGGATTCTGAGAGGTAGTGAGAAGAGGAAAAAAAGTCAGAAAATTGGAACCAGGAAAGAAAGCTATGCTTTGGGGCTGTTTATTTTTAAGAAATATATTTTTATTGATTTCAGAGAGAAAGGGAGAGGAGGCAGAGAGATAGAAACGTCAATGATGAGAGGGAATCACTGATCTGCTGCCTCCTGCACACCCCACACTGGAGACTGAGCCCACAACATGGGCATGTGCCCTGACCGGGAAATGAACTGTGACCTCCTGGTTCATAGGTCGATGCTTAACCTCCGAGGGATGGTTTTTCATTGATTCATTAAATTGATATTTACTGAGTGATAGTGTATGTGTCAGACAAACACACACATGAATAAGCAAGATTTTAGGGAGTGATAAATCTAAGGAGACAATGAAATGATGACAGGATGGAGGTTGGTGGGGTAGGGGTGGGACTTGCCTTTGGGTGACCAGGAAAGACCTCTCTGAGGAGGTGACCTTTGAGCAGAGAGCTGGGTGACAGTTAGGAGCTATTCCTGGAAGGGTCTATCCTTAGCACTCTGTGTATCTTATTATTCAGAGGCAGAACCAAGCAGGGGTTCTTTGAAAAGGAAAGTAGAATTTCTGATGTCTGCCTGTTCCACCCCAGCCTCCCGGGCCACCTCCCTGACCATGCGAGGCACCCCTCTGTTTTCTGAGCCATCATAATGGACACTTGCAGCTCTCTGGCTATTTTGAGAGCAAAGACTGCAGAATAAGTAGTGAATAGAAGACAAGGTCTCGGAAGGTGCAGAAGGGAGAAGGCAACACAAAGTTAGGCCGAAGGGTGAAGATGGGGGAAGTAGGAGACATCAGAGACACCTGGAGCTTTTTTTGTTTCTTCTAGAATCTATGTGCATGCTGTAGTGGGGGCAATCACAACACGGAGGGAAGGGTGAAATGTGAAGCAGAAAGTCAAAACCCCTTCCTTCACCTGCACATACTTTAGTATTTTTATGTCCTGATAAAAATGCCTGGAAGCCGTTCCCTTCAGTAAATGAAACAATGAAGATTAATGAGCTAATGGGGTAGAGCTGATTTGAATTGCACAGAAGGTGTTGCATAAGTTCTTGGCATTTAAAACGTTATCTGACATTTAAAGGGAGAGGGCTGCTAATGAATTCAAGATCTAACACTCCGAGAGACTGAGCTGTGGAAAACCCAGGATGATAATCTTGCTGTAAACATGATGTGACTCAGTGGAAAGCCAGAACAAAAGGGAGCCATCAGCTGTATACCCATATCCATATGCACACACACACATATAGTGCAGCCAAACTTACAGAGGATGCCCTCAAATTAAATAAACATTTCCTTTCTTAATCTTGGATTATAATATCTGAGCTATGGACTCAAGGAGAAATGCTTCTCCCCAACCATTTTTCCTCCTCCTTCAACGTGTGTACTTTGTTTTATTTTTATTTTTTAAAATCTATTTTATTGATTTTTTACAGAGAGGAAGAGAGAGGGATAGAGAGAAACATCGATGAGAGAGAATCATCAATCAGCTGCCTCTTGCACACCCCCTGCTGGGGATGTGCCCGCAACCCAGGTACATGCCCTTAACCGGAATCGAACCCGGGACCTTTCAGTCCGCAGGCCGACGCTCTATCCACTGAGCCAAACCGGTTTTGGCAACGTGTGTAATTTGAAGGGTCACAACAGTGGGCTGGCTCTACAGTCATTGGGATATCTTACCACAAGGAGGAAAGGAGATGCTAAACTAAGGTGACCAGACGTCCGGATTTTTAACAATTTGTCCCGCATCCCTAAAACGCCGAGGGCCACGGGACAAATTGTTAAAAATCCGGACGTCTGGTCACCTTATGCTAAACCCAACCAGCTAGCTCTCCACCCAGGGCCCCCCCCCAGAGCCACCGAAGATACGGATCGTCTCTCAGGCCTTCCTCTCCCCTCGCTCCTTTCTAATTGGGGTTCCCCGTCTCTGAAGCGGCAGCTTAGTGGCTCCAAGAAGAGCTATTGCCTCTCATTAACGAGGCTGCAACACTCTCGCTGCTAACTGCCTCCCACGCAGCCAGCGCACAGCTTCGTTCTCCTGGGAGCAAGCTGCCAAGAGTCTCTGGGAACCTGTGGGCAAGCTGAGCTGGAGGAAGAAACAGAAGGCGGAGGGCCTCGGGAGCCAAGATCTGAGATGTGCCGGGGCACACACCTCGTCATTATCTTCACGCATGGAGGGCAGGGCGGGGGGCCGTTGCCGAAAGCCTCATGTGGTCTCTCAGGTTGCCAGATGGAACCTCAGTGCACACAGGGCGCGTGGCCC